TGAATGATAGGATTGGTTTTAATTTGGCAATTTGTCTGAGTTGAAAAAAGCTAGTTTTAACAACATTTGCGATCTGTTTGTCAAAGTTTAAAAGAGAGTCCATAAAAACACCAAGGTTCTTTGCTGAACCGTGCAAATTTGTGGCAAGAGGTCCAAGGTCAGATGTGAGGGTGTCAGTGTTTGGTCCAAATAGGATAACTTCAGTCTTATTTTCGTTTAGCTGAAGAAAGTTAAAGGACATCCAGTTTTTTATTTCCGCAAGGCAGGTATGGAGGGTAACAAAGGATGAGACGTTTTTTGGGGAAACAGGAAGATAGAGCTGGGTGTCGTCAGCATAAAAAGGTGGTACTTAATCTGATGTTTTTCTAGGATTGAACCCAGGGGGAGCATGTATAAAGAAAATAAAAGAGGCGCTAGATGGACCCTTGGGGCAGGCCGCACGTGACAGGAGCAGAAGTAGACACTCTCTCACCGACTTTGACTGCAAAGGATCTTCCTGACAGATATGATGAGAACCATTTTATGACTGAGCCCTGCAAGCCAACCGTATGCTGCAGGCGTTTTAGGAGGATCTGGTGGTCAACTGTGTGTCAAAGGCTGCACTTAAGTCCAATAAAATTAATACAACTGAGGATCCGGAATCAAGCGTGAGAAGGATGTCATTGTAGACCTTTACCAGAGCAGATTCAGTACTATGATGCTTGCGAAAACCAGACTGGAACTTGTCAAGGATATGTAGAGTGTTAACATGAGCTGAGACCTGATTAAACACAATTTTTTCCAAAATTTTTGCCATGAATGGTAATTTGGATATGGGCCTGTAGTTTGATACATCTTCAGTGTCCAAATTTGCCTTTTTGATAAGCGGATGCACAATAGATTTTTTAAGGAATGTAGGAACAGCACCACTACGTAGAGATGAATTTATGATGGCTAAGATGCTTGGGTGGGTACAGGGAAATACGTCTTTAAAGAGGGCTGCAGGTAAAATGTCCAGGTAGCAGCTCGTGGGTTTGAGGTGTGCAAGAGCCTCAGTTAGTTCAGGGAGAGACACTTGCCTGAATTCAGCGAGGTGGTGGGTAGCATGGGGCATGATTTGGGGGGGGGTTGGGGGGGGGTTGGGGGACGACATACATACATAACAATTGTTTATCTGTGAAAGTGCATAGGCCAACCCCTGTGTGCCAATAACGTATCCAACTGAACGGGGTCAGGTACTGAAGTCCTCCCCTAAAGGTGCATGAGGAATATCCATTGTGCCTTTCTAATTAAGTCAATCCTCAGCACCTGCAGCCAGTCGCTAGTACTACTGTCTGCATCTCAGTGAGGAGGTTCTGAGCTTTCACACCATGGTCCATATACAGAGAATGAGAGAAATGTGCATCATCTTTATATGCAGGTGAGGGAACGTCTACTTACAACAGGATCTTTTTTTTTTTTTTTTTTTAACTGCGCATTTACGCTACACACCGTTTTTTTTTTAAGTGCACAACTTCTTGTCAATACTCACTCCATAAATCCAAATGGAAGCGTTTAGAAGTTCAAATGCACCTTCAAATATTAATATGCGTGTAAATGATTCAGTCCACAGCGAACTTCAATAGCCGTGTTCTCATACAGCGCTTTCAGTTTAACGGGACGTCCCAGAAAATAACCCCTAATCCATCGGTGGAGCAGCTTTCTTTGTGCGCCTTTACGCGGGGCTATGGACCAGTTCTCTCCCGGTAACATGTTTCACCACTCTTTTCCCGCTAGCCCAGGACAATGTAGCTGTCAGCGGTGACTTGATGCGATGTGAGAGCTCCGTGGAGGCCGTACTCTCTCTGTGCGTCACGAAGCGGCGTACGTGGACCGGTGTGTACGCGCGCAACTGAACCGTAAGCGCCTCATGACTAAATAAAGAGAATCACTCGACTTTTCATCGGCGCTTTTTATAGAACTGTTATGGTATTCCCAATACAGTGCATAAGCTTCACTCCTGTGTCTTCGCCATTAATTAAACATGCTATTTTAGTTTGATATTGGATCAAATTAACCCAATAATGTACCACACAAAAGCTAAATTGCTCAATTTTTTAAAATTTATTTATTTATTTATTTATTTTTATTTTTTTTGCTTTTTTGTTTTCGTACTTCACCTTCATTATTTAAAATGCAAAAATTAAAAATAATAATAATAATAAAAACAAAACTAATAGGCTAGATGAACTAAAGCGCAAGACAAGATCATACTAATAAAACGGCAGGATTTTTAAGGATTTTTTTAATTTTTTTCCCCCCAATATCTCCTCCTTTTTCCATCCCTCTCTCAGACCCATGCCCTCTCTTGTCCTAGCTCTATAGCGCTACTGTACATTATCCAAACACGCAGATGAAGCGTGTACTTTGCTGGTGTTTTTGTCTTCTAGAGCATGATCAAGGCTGCCCTCTTGATACCATGAGGGACTACTGTATGTAAATGAGGGAGAGACCCAGAGGCAAAATAACCAATGTTTAACCATATTACAGCAGATGTGTACATGAATATTGCCTCTTGGGTCTTCATAGCCATCTTCATCAATTTTAATATACAGAGAAGATGCTGGAAAAATAAATAAATAAATAAAAAGTGTAGTTAACTGTATAAAAGTATCACAAAATAACATTATAGCAATTAGTATTTCACATTTTGGATTTTTATTTTAAAGCTGCATTGTGTGACAGTGGGCCTGCCGTCTGCTTGTTTCCATGGAGGTGGTATAGACCGTTTTCAGTGCGGCCGGAAAGACGCGCGACGTAGGGTAAACGTCACTTACGTCAATGCTTTTGTTTACTGTGGCAAAATATCTGGAAAGCTCTCATATTTTCCACTAACTACATAAATCTGCCCCACCACCAAATCTTCATCCAAAAAGGTCAACAAAGGACATATTCTGTTCATGAAGATTTTATCCACAACTATCAAGGTAAGAAAGATGAAAATGTACAGGCTAACAAGGACTAGCATTAGTGAACTACTGAGCAAAACTAATGTTATGGTCATGAATAAAACATAAGTAACTTGTTCACTCAGACTGATTCTAGAATTAAAATTAAAAATGGATTTCATGATGTAGATATTAACATAGACAGAGAGATTTGTGCAGTTTTTGCATATCTACATGAAACCCATTTTTAATTTTGATTCTAGAATCAGTTAAGAGTTAAGTTACTTATTAACAAATTACTTATTACTTATGCTTTATTCATTAGCATAATGCTAATTTTGCTTAGTAGTAGATCACTAATGCTAGTCGTTTGTTCGCCTTTACGTTTTTGTCTTTCTTACCTTGATAGTTTGGAGAAATTCTTCATGGACAGAATATGTCCTTTGTGGACCTTGTTGGATGAAGACTTGGTGATGTGGCAGATTTGTGAAGCTGGTGGAAAATACGCGTGACTTTTCCACAGGTATTTTGCCATAGAAAAGCATGAATGTAAGTGACGTTCACCCTACATCCTTCACTCTATATTCACCCTACAAAAAGGTCTATAGATGCAGGTGTCTCCAACCTTTTTCCTCAGGTGAGCTACCTTTGTAAAATGTAAATGCCAGAGAGCTGCTCGTTTTAGCCGTCGCAAGAAATTGAGAAAGTAGAATAGCCATGGCAAGCTTCTGACGGGGTACAGTTAGATTCCTACTAAACATAAACCATTATCCATTTGTTAGTGCACAAGTTAGGCATTAAAATCACACATTTACAATGGTAAATAGTCAGATTTTAGTAATTATGCACAATACGTATAATTCAGAAATCCCTTGGTGAGCTACTTGGAGTGGGGTAGAGAGCTACAAGTTGGAGATCCCTGTATCAATGTCATTAGAAATGTTTTGCATTTATACAATTATGTATTTATTCACAAATTCTTTGAAAAACGTAGAGTACTTTTTCCTTTTTTTTTTTTTTTTTTTTTACTATTAACAATTAACAGATCTGCAGTTTCATTTACAAAACTTGGAATTCAAAACACAAACTTTTTCCAACTTCGGACCCCTCATTTCATGGTCAAATTGTCTTTTTATAAATTACACTGGTGAAAAACATGTCAACATTTTAACACTTTATAAATAAGACAACCTGGCCCGGTGAACTCAGGACTTACCTGCTTGTTCCCATGGAGATTATTTCAGTGCCTAATTGTGGAACATTCCAGGCAAAACAATAACATCAGACGGTGTACCCCCCTCCAGAAAAGTTACATAACCCAACTTTAAAATGCAGTCCTCTTCAGGGTTCAACAAAGTAAAGGTATGCTACCCACTGTTTTATTCATCAGCCAAATACTACTGTCAGTGGTAAAGTACTCAATTGTGTTACTTAAGTAAAAATACAGATACAGGGGCAAAAGATAACAAAAATAAAAGTATCACATGAAAAAAAATTGTACCTAAAGAATAAAAAGTAAAAGTCTTTTGAAGACATTTTTAGAACAGTTAAAGGATGAAATGTAGTGATTTTGATAAAGAATGTAGCTGATTTTAAGGGATTCAGTTGATTTCTTAATTTTTCTAGCTGTTTTTGTGTATTTGGTTTCAGTTGGGACTTTTTACATTTCAGTACTTTCTACTTTTCAGTCAGGAGTAGTAAATACAGAAACATGCTCCTAAATGTAGTGACGTAAAAGTAAAACGTACGCACTGTAAAATGTTCTTAAGGAAAGTACAGATACCTAAAATTGTACTTATACATTTGTTACATACTTTGTTACATTCCATCACTGACTACTAGATACTGCGGCATTGTGACAAGCATAATAATAATAAAAAAAACAAAAAGAAAGTTACATTTCTTGATACTTCTGCATTATCCCCTGTATTTCTAACACACAATATGTCCTCTTTCTCTTTAGCTGCTCCTGTTACTTTCTCCATTGTTTTTCCTGGTGGATTAGCCTGGGGGATGTCTGCAGGGCCTGGGACCGCTGGGAGCAAAGAAGAGGGGTGGGGCGAGGGGGGGGGACTGTCTACGCTGCTGTGGGACGTCCTCCGGGGGCCCCGCACTGTCCTGGCATGGCTTTGTACTGTCTCGCTTCAAAGCTATCCGCCCCATAAGAGAGACCGACAGAGGAGCCACAACGCACTCGCCATCGTTCTACCTGATACTGCAAGCCTGTAAAGGTGATGTAGCTTTGTTCTGCGACTACTACAGTTTAAAAAGTTGAAAGACATGAAACATCCACTGTGTAACTTTTCTGGGGGAGGGTTTGTTACTTGCTTCTTGTAGAGATGTTTGCCAATGCTTCACATTATGGCATTTAAGGGGCCCATATTACACTGTTTTCTGATCTGTTATAATGTTGTATCTTTATCACAAACATCCCTGAAGTTGTGTTTTGTTTCATTCATGGATGTTTAACACAAACCCTGCATATTTAGGCTGAGTTCTTCTTTGAAACTAAAACTGAAAAAGCTCTGTTCCACTTTGTGATGTGATGTGGTTATACAGGAAGTGCTCCGTCATTGTTGCACCCCCGAAATGAATGGCGAGACTTTCGTTCATTTCATCTTTTGGGCAACTTTTACTTTCAGTTCATTTTTTTTAACAAGTAAGTTTCCTTTTCTGCCTCTTTTCAACATCAACAAATCAATGCACTTTTCCCATAAGCCTTTGAGTCTCATATTCTTAAAATAACAGTAAAGTAAAGACCCTGGCCTTACAAAGGTACAACGACATAATAAAATAAAAAATATTGTCAGTAAGTAAGTATTTATATCAAATGATATTTTTTTTAAAGCTTAAATTAAATAAGAATTTAATCTTATGAATTTTATAACAGAAATAGATAGTCTGTAATTTCCAGTCTCTATTGAACTAAAGGTAAAAGGTAGCTGTTACATCTCAAGGTGGAACAGAGCATTTTGAGCATTGGAGATGTAGACACACTAAAAATAAATGATTACTCAAACATGTGCGGATAAAACAAAACACAGCTCCAGGTTTGTTTTTGAGGAGGTAACATTCTAACGTGGCTAAAAGCTCACAAGAGTCAATTATGCGTAATATAGGACCTTGCATTTTCGTACATAATAGATAAATACCTTTAAAAAATACATGCATTTTATAAACTGAGTAGGCTTATTTGTGACTGTGGCATTATCTGTTTGTTTCCATGAAGATAGATAATTTGAATGCCATACTTTAATGAATTTAATGGATTTCAGAATTTCAGAACGGACAATAACTTATCTGTAGAGATCCGGAGCATCCAAAAGAAAAGTTGCATAGTTTATGTGTATGTTGTTTATTTTCCACTGTCGATAGGCCGTGGTTAAAATATGTGATAGAGGTTTCTGTGTATATCTTTTATGAAGCCATATCTGAAGATGGTTCATTTTGATTAACCAGAACTTATGTAACAGTGGGTGGCAGCAGTTTATCATCTTTATTCAGCACATGGCACAGATCAATCATAAGTACAATGTTTACTTAGCGGTGTTAGGCTGAGGAAAAGACAATTTTGTGAAATGAAAAATAAAATTAAACTTTACAATTTGCTGTACATAGCACACAGCAAAAAAAAAAAAAAATGAAAAGAAAAACTTACTTCTGAGGACACAAATATAGCGCTGTGCAATTATCATTTACTTGAACAGAAATATAACCCAATTCAATATTCATACTGTTTGACATGCTCTCTGTTTACCTGGTCATATCTGCTTTTTCCCGTGTGTAGAGTCATATAGCATCACTAGAGTCATTCATCAGAAAGCTGAGACAACACTACGTGACTGTGGGTGGCCTCCTTGCCCTCTGACTCCTTTGGGTGCTGCTGCTGTCACCCGGGTTTACCGTCAGACTGACTGTGATGGCAGGTCTGACCTCACCTTGATGTGACTGAGACAGAAAAGAGAAAAATTTAACAAGAACAATCTGGAAAGGTTTGACTTTGTTTAAATGTTTGTGGTTTGTGAACACTGACTTAATATTAGTATTAGTCTTTAGAACAATTTCACATTCACGTTCACATTTTATATTTAATTCTACTTTCACATATCAGCAGAATCAAAAATCTTGCTAATTTTGTTTTCCTTTTATCATTTTAAACATCTCCTTAATACTGCTACTATAAGAGGCATTGTAAGAAGGATAATGGTATTTCTTCTTATTAATTAACACATTTCTTGTTGTATTTACATATATTACCTTTTAGTTTTTTCGGTACAACTTTATAATTAAGGACTAAGCAGAGAAGTCAGTGTATTAATATAGTTACTCAGCCTGAATCATTCTTAAATCAACTATTTGTTCATTATGAGTTAAGTCTTCCATTTTGTAGATTTTATGTTGTCTGTACTTATTATAAAGTGTTCTCGTATTTTCTACTTGTTTCTATAATGTTCAGATCCCAGAGTCCTGAAGACTGTTGCCATGGCGCTCATAAACTGGCCTCCCCTCCGCTCGTGCGCGCAGCTCCACTTGCGAAGAGCCTAAGTGCTTCACAGAGAGAGAGACAAAAACTCAAATGAAATCACGCCACAGTGAGTTATTTCTGGCTGGGTTAGTCTCATTTCTCTGGGCTCCGTGATAATGGAGAACACTTGAATAATGAATGCCGGGGATAATACTCTTCCTCCCGATGAAGAGGAGGCCTACATTTCTTGGACTGCCTCTAGATGTGTTTCCTAAAGCTCTTTAATCTAAATCATATATGTTCAGCGCTAAGGAAGATACTGACCCATCGGCTTCATTCCTCGACTGTTGTGTTTTCTCATGCAGCTCATTGGCTGGTGCATAATACATGTTAGTTAGCAGACAGCGTGACCTCAAGTAACTATGAGCCTATTTATATACAGTACATGGTTTCAGAGGGATGAAAGAGATTTAAAAGGGCCCGTATTACACTATTTTCTTTTCTATGTTGTAATGCTGTTTCCTCATCAAAACATACCCAGAGTTTTGTTTCATTCACACGTTTATCACACAAATCTTGCAATTTAGCCTGAGCTCTTCTCTCAAACTTAAAATGCTCTCATCCACGTGTCATGTGGTAATATGCGAAGTGCTCCACTGTGTTTTTAAACTCCCATACACACCCACCTTTAGTTAGAGTTGGTGTTAGTGCAGTAGAGAGATTGGCAGTTCCAGAGGTGAAATTATCCAAATGTTTCTAGAATGGAGTTTAAAAGCACAGTGGAGCACTTCCTGTATTACCACATGACATCACAAGGTGGAACAGAGTGTTTTCTGTTTGAGGGAACTCAGAACTCGGCCTAGATATGCAGCATTATGTTCATTATGAACATAGGCACATCATTTAACGCTCTTTAAACTTTTTTTTTTTTTTTTCATTAAGCCTTACTTTATGTCTTTCTAAGGCTAATTAGAGCTACCATCTCTAATTAGATAGGCCAACCAGTCCAACTGTATTCTCACACTTCACCACTAGATGCTTCCTATCAACAAACTTGCAGATGGTGATTTTAAAATGTACTTATTACAATGTTCCTCTAAGTTTTAATTGAAATATTTTAACAGTATTATTTCTGTGAATGCATTATTTTTTCATGGTCTTCCACTGGTCCATTTATCCTATTTGCCTGTTGCGTCACCAGCTTCCCTAGAACACGGAGTGGATGACATATATTTTACACTTCACCGCTCAGAGAAACCGGAGAGCACCTGAATGGACGGCTATACGACCAGTGACTAACATCCTAGACTCAAGTTTCTGAAACCCAGTAGGTCTGCTGTATACGCTGGCTCAGGCCCACACGGCAAACGGGAAATCTAGCAGGAGTTTAGACTGTCAAAGTATTCTGATGGACTGTTTTTCACCTGGAATAAACTTATATGTATGTGCATGAGGAAAAACAGGTGATGCGAGGCCAAATTACAGCTGAGATCTGTGTAGAAGTAGTAGTTTTACAGCTACTTTTTTAGCGGTATAAAAGTAATTGAACAAATAGGTGTAATATCTGATTGAACATTCCTGGCAAAGTCATTAAATCTCCATGGAGACAAGAAAGTGGCAAAGTCTAAAATTCATAATATTGCACTGTTTTGAGTGGTTCTGATTTAAGACATATTTGCTAATACCATGGATTATTCAGATGATTTTGTTACAAGTTGACTGATTTGACAATTATTTAGCATTAAATAATAGATTTATTCTAATGTGGGGGTAAAAAAAAAGTGATTACAGCATTCTCACCTCCAACTGGAATCATAAAATAGCAATCTGAAAAATGTATTAAAATAAAAACATCATCTAAAACATTTTGAAAGAACTTCAGTTGCTCTATTCGTTCATCTGATAAGTACACCTGAACTAGTCCAAACCTCAGATCAAGATAATGATCTGAAGCAACATTTTCAAAGTGCACGTAGGGTAAGCTGTAAGGTCTGAAATGGAGATGACGTTTTAGAATGTTCCTCAATATGGCATAAAGCTTAACAATGTCCATAGAGACAAGTAAACGCCTCCAAACCAAAGATAGATGCCATACTGCGAGACCAGCAGGTGGCGGAACTTTCACTTTAACAGAATACACTTTTGTGCAGTGGGTGTACTGTAGGTGTATAAGAAGTGCAGGCTTAGTCTCTGACGCTGATCTGAGTTGACATAATTGAGAGAGCAGAGGTAGCTGTCTCTTTTGGCTTCACTCACATTCTCATTTGTTGCTGCTGGCATGAGATGAATTATTAAGTTTGGGGTGTCTTCTCGGCCGCTCCTCCCCTCCCCTGTACATTCCCCCGCTCTCCTCTCTCTCCCAGTGTGGACAGAGCCTGTGTGTGTGTGTGTGTGTGTGTTTATATTCATGCATGCATTCAGCTTTTATCCCCATTCTGTCAGAAAACCTTTTGGCATGACATTTCCAGACCCTGTTTAGGCTATAGGTTTCTCACAACTGCTTATAGTCTTAGGTCTTAGCCATATAAGAGCAGTGAGGGAGTGATGGTTCTTTCCTTCAAATCTGTATTAAGATATTAATACATATAAACACATTTTGTCCATCCGTACAGCCATTTTCTTCCACTTATCCAGGGCCAGGCAGCTGGGACTCCCAGACTTCCCACACTCCAGACACTTCCTCCATATGAATACAATTTCTTATATTGTAATACAACAAATTATAAATAAAATCTGTTTGTTAAAGTTCTGGAATATTATGATTCCCTGATATTTAGTTGAATAAAGTGTCCCGTGTCTATTGTCTGGCTCTGCCTTTGGACCTTTTTGTATTTTTATGACTTTAGAGAATGAAACTAACATAAAAAGTGTGTTCTTTGTATACAAACATTGATGTATTAAATAAGGATGTTATTATACGTCTGCATAATTTACATATTGAAGTCTGACTTAACATTATTGACAGGTTGGCCAAAGTGTACTTCTGTATGGCTGTGGTCCTTTTTGTTATTTCAGTATGATTATAAAAGAAACTTCAGTGCTCTGTGCTAAAATGTGTTAAGTATTTGTCAAATGACAGGCCTAATGCCCCCCTCTTCTGCAGCTTTGAACTTGCCCCAAAACTCCCAAACTGCGCGTCTTTCTTAAGCGCAGACGTCTCTATTATCGCATGTGAATATCCCACGTTGCTCCGAGTGTCTCGTGAATAATTGACGTGGCCCAGTCACCACATGCTGTGAACGCTCACAGACTTCAGCTCAACTTACCCCGAGCCCCGCGCTCATCCCCGCGCATCCAGGGTGGCACCAAGAATCCTGGGAAACAAGTGGGAACGTCATGAATTGTCAGCCTTAACCCTAAGTTTTTACTGTTTGTTGTTGTTTGTATTAACTTGGGTTCTGAATTGTTATTATGTGAATGAAAAATATCCTGACATTATCACAACGTATAATTTGCAATCTGCAGATTATGGATATTCTCATGAAATAAAATAAAATCTAAAATATTTAGAATATTTTTCATCGCAATAAATAAATGAAATACAATTCACAAAAAATATGTGTTCTGGCATTTAAACCACTTGTGAAGAGAAGAGAACAGTCACAATGGACAGGGAATATAGCCTATTAAATGCAAAGATACACCCCTTATTTATTTAACACATGAAATTAGTGAGACCAATAGAGCTTAGACTTTAATATGTACTGAGAAATGTCCAGCAAATCGAGTTTGTCTTGTGGTAGACACGGTGTGGCAGCGGACTAACACAACCCGTGGCAGCCATAGGTGCAAATGCAATGCCTAAGGATAATATTTATTTAAAAACTAATCCTATTTATGATCCATTGCAATGTATTTGTATGTACTTTTATGAATCAATTATCCTGTTATCTGCTACAAGACTAAATGTTTATAGACCCGTCAGAGAAACGTCAGCAATTAGCTTTAACGTAATCATGCCTTTCTATTGCCAAGCTCTTACAGTAGAAATACCCAGTTTAACACCATAAATTATACACGGTAATTAATCTCCCTCGTATCTTCAAAGAGAATATTAATTATCGACACAAATATTTCCTTGTAGTTGCAAAGTATTGGTCCTCTGGCTGCATCCACCCGCCAACAGTCTCAATGGGAAAACCACACAACCTCAGGCCGTTTAACTCTGGGCAGTTCCGCTAATTATTTTCAGAAATCCTAATTTAGTAACATTATTAACTGCTGTCAACCGTATAGTTTGAAAAATGGAAGTTACTGAAAAAAAGAATAGGGGGTAGAAGAATAATGTAAAGCAGTGATGCGCTTCGTGAACAAACTTTGCAAATCTAGAAATGGTGCGTAAAAATAAGTGATACCAATAAGCGAGCAATCAATTTACAGAAATAAATTAGCAATAAATAAATAGATTAAACTTGACAGATAATAAAATAAAAGACTTACTTTTAAACTGGCTGAATTAACGTTTGTTGAGCCTGTTTAGTTTCGCGTGTCCTTTGTCTCCCCAGAGGCGCGGCGCACACTTCTCCGCAGACTTTAAGCTGCTCCTCCTTCGCATTTCTTCGTTTTATACCAATTTAGAATTAATATTGCATCGTCATTACTTAATAATTTCAACCCCCCTTGTAACCCAGTGACACGAGGGCATCCATAATTCACACGAGGTTAATTAGAGAGGAAAGGGCCATTAACCGGCGCGTATAGGAGGCGCACGGTTTACGCACAGCAGTGCCAAAAAACGCATAGGCTAGCCTGTATCAGCGGGGCCTTTATTTTTCCGTGGCGCTTGTATCATACACGACAATACATATTTAATCTCTGCTGAGGATTAGGGATCTATGAATTAAACAGTGGCAACAGGATTACAAAACAAACAAAGACAGCGCTGCGTTATATGAAAAAAGTGTAATTCAAAATAAAGCGCCTATTAGGCCTGTATTAGTCCTGTGAGTTAATATGGCTGTATAATGCAACTGTATAATAATACAGACTCACTTCATCAGAAAGTGTTTAGAAAATAACAAATTATTTATTAATATTTTCACACATTTTCAAGTAAAACAATAGTGAAGAAAAATAAATAAAATATTATAATAGAATAACTGGTGTATCGTATCTGGGCTATTAGCTCCAAAACACATCAAAATATTCATATAAATATAGCAGCAGCCACATCCACACGGGTTATGTGCCTCGTAGACATTAGTGTCATTGCTTTAATCAGACAGTGCGTATCCTGTGATATTGTGCATAAAATAACAATAAACAATTCACCACGACAGAGTAAAAGGTTTGGGGGATGTGATTACGATCATTTTCATCCAACACAGTGACAGTCCCAGTTTTACCTTTCAGAACATTTTTTTTTTTCCCAACCATAATACGACTGTTAACTTTATGGTAAAGAATGACCAATGCCCTTGAATCTTTTACCCTGTTGGGCTCAGTATAAACCGCTGCACAAGAGTGATTTTCCACCAAACAAATAAAAAAGATTGTTTAACTTGAAAGAGCTCTAGTGCAAGACACATTGTTGACAACATCAAAACCCACCTCCCACACACCAGCGACACCGTCCCACCAGTGACAAAATCAAAAAGTGCAACAAGAGAGGTCTAAGTCAAGTCGTTTGGAGATACTCCAGTCCAGACGTGAGGAGCTCGTTAATAAATTCCTGTAGGCTATTATTAATCACTCGATCAAAAATGTAGTAGGCTATTTTATTCATGATCTGTGAAAGTCAGTGCGCAGCGGAGTATTTCATTCGTTTCTGTTTTTGCCTCTGGTTGCAAAACCACACTCGAACCACGTTCTTTTTCAGGTCCAACTTCTCTGCAATGGCTGCAATTTTCTCCGAGGAGGGCCGCGGCTGGATGGCAAAGTACGCCTCTAGAGAGCGCTTCTCTGGCGCGGCGATGGACGTGCGTTTCCTTTTTCGTTCGTTCCCGTTGAAAAGGTCCGGCTTGCTGCTTTTCTCTCGGTATGCTGCCTCGGCTTCCTCCAGCCACGCTTGGAGAACGGGCTTGAGCGCAATCATGTTGTTGTGGGACAGGGTCAGAGACTCGAACCGGCAGATGGTGCTCTGACTGAGTGACCCCACTCCCGGGATTTTCAGGTTGGCCAAGGCAGAGCCCACGTCCGCCTGTGTCACACCGAGTTTGATCCTGCGTTGTTTGAAGCGCTCCGCAAACGCCTCCAGCTCCCGTGGATCCGACTCCACGTCGTTGACCATGCCCCCGTGCATAGAGAGCGAGTGTGGGTGCGCCATGGTGGCCATAGCCTGGTGCAGCTGGCCCATGGTCTGCAGATGGTGGTGGTGCGCCGGTGCCGTCATCCCCGGGGGCTCCGGACCTCCCATCCCGCTCACAGCCAGGCTGCTGGACAGGTGCTCCAGCAGGTCCCCGGCCTCCAGGCCCTGGCCCAGGTGAGGGTGATGGTGGTGCGACGCTATGGTGGACGGCACGTGGGAGATGTTCAAGGCGCTGGAGGAAGGGGCTGAGGTGCAGGGGACACTGCTCATGGTATGATAAGTCACGTCTGCTTTGAACGCGTGGCTCTTGCCGTGAGAGACGATGCTGTCAGCCGCCGCCAGAGCCTCTGCCCGCGCCAGCAGGCTCTCATCAAAGCCTCCAAATATATTGCCCTGCAGCTGCAAGCGAGAGGAGAGAGCATACTGCAAGTCAGTGGGGAATAGTGTCAGCAGCGCGCGCTCAGGATCTTAAAAACATTTTTTCCAAAGGCAGTGCAGAGCTCAGAGCAAGCTCCTCAAAGCGCAGGTCATAAAAATTAATATGAAGCAAGAGCATTGCTTGAATTGACATGTGTGAGAGGGGAGGGCGTACTGGGAGGGGAGCACAGATACAGAGGAGAGAGAGAGACTAGAACAAAGTCCTGTCAAAAGTGTTCTTGTTCATCCAGGTCATGGCGAATCTGGACGTAGTTTTGAGCTTCAAAGACCCAAACTACATCCAGACCCCCGCCCCAGACAATCCTCTAACCTGCTAAACTTTACACGACTTATCATAGTGATATTTCACCAAACTGAAGCACGTACCTGCGGGCCAGACACACACACTCTGCGCATGCCCTCCGAGCCCGCGTGCAGGCCGGGGTACTTGGGCTCGTGCAGGGCCGGGTGCATGCTGAAGTGCTGTTTTCCGTTCATGGTCATCATCGTTCTCCGGGGCTGCCTCCTGCAAGCAGCGCGCGAGCAGTCAAGGCCCCAGGCACACGGACGCACAGCGATGGTGTCTGAGGTCCTGCGCGAGACTCCTGTCACCCACAATGAGCTGCTCACGCGGCGGGCAGAGCCTCCCGGCACCCTCCCCATCCCTCTCCCATCCCCCTCCCGCTCAGTTTACAAACGCCAAAGTGGGGCCTCTTTGCGCAAGCGTCAAGTGGCAGCTTCGTCTTCTTCTGACACTTTGGACGCTTTTGTCTTTTCCAAACAAACATACTGTAATTATTCCACATATCCATATTTAGACATCACTTTACCCGTCTTTGATCATAGTAGTAGTAGCTTAAACCAGAGTCATAATAATGCAGCCTATGTATTTTGCCAATATGAGGTGACGTGAGGACGGGTACGGGGCTGCGTGCAGTGGTTTCAGCACCAAGGACAGAGACTGGTGTCAGTTTTGCTCTGTCCAAGGTGCTGAAATGAAACAAAAGGCAATATCGGTTATAGAGCTGCAGACTGTGACAGATTAATCTCAGTTGGTAAGTTTATCTGGATAGACCTATACCAGTTTTAAAGTTACCACAGTCTGTAATGATCATAGGTCAAATCAAGCTGTGAGAAGAATTCACTTTCACGACTCAAAATAACTTGGACATTACTGCTTTTTGGCTAACACAAGTGTATATAATTTTCTTGTCTTGGTGACTACTTTTAATAATGGCTTTGCAGATGATTTCAGAATGTGATCTTTACATTGTTTAGCAGTGACCAGAACCTGAAATTTGGAGCAACCCACTCTGTGAACCGGGCCGGACTCTCCTCTCTCGTTAGAACCCTGAGCACCGTGCACACCCGCGGGGCCGAAAGCGGAGCCAGCGCGGGACAGAGGGTGACACAGAGCTACGTGATCTACCTGCACCTCTCCTGTTCCTCAGACCCTCAATAATTCAGCAGACCAGTGCAGGCATCCATTACCGGCCGAGAGCATGTGCTTATTCATTACACAGATTAAAAGAGCCACGGTCCTTCCTATACCCTGCAGACCTGTTGCATGCTGGGAGTCACTTGTTAGCTATAACTGTGTCTAAAAAAAAAGAACAATACACTTTTTACTTTAGATGTGCTTCTTGAAGAGCAATTTATTCACTTAAACTGTTGTCATAGCAATTAAAAATCTTAACATAGCCTATCTTTAGAAACAATATACTGAAAGCGAATTGCCGATATGTTGTTTTTGGGCGACAGTAGCTCATTTGGTAGTGTTTGTCCAAGCCAGCTTTCGACATAAACATCATCGGTTGAGCGGTCAGATCCACTGTACCGCAGGTCGGCAGTGAGATTCCAGCTCCCACGGATGAACGCAGTCACTGTGTCCTCGGGCAAGACACTTAACCCACCTCGCCCCCAGTGTCTGTGTTCCCCGGTGTATGAATGTGTGTGTGAATGGGTGAGTGGTTCCTTGATCTAAAGTGCTTTGAGTGCCTTGAAAGTGGAAAAGCGTGGCCATTTTTCATTTACCAAAAAATACTAGTAACTTGAGTAGTTTTTTTATTTTTTTTTTTTTTTTTACCCCTACTACTTACACATTTTCAGCAGTTTTCTCTTTCCAACACTGTTCTTGAAATTGGAACTAAGAGAGATTGTGGTAAACTAAAACACTTATTCTGCCAATAATGTCAAATTTGAATTAAAAAAACAAAACAAAACAAAAAAACAACCAAAAAAACTAAAAACACACATACAGTTTTGTTTTCTGTTTAAAAGTATTTGCTCGTTCTGAATTCGAGATGCACTGTATAACTTTTCTGGTTTGTTAAATATTGAGATGTTGTCTTGAATGTTTCACAGCACTAGGTCAAGTTATAGGTCAGATCTGTGGAGAGGCGACCCCTCTCAGAGTCAGAATGCCGTTTTTTCTAAGTATTTTTTGAGCTATAAAACCACCTGTAATTGAATAAATGTAGGGCAGAGCTGTTTGATGTCACACTGTGGAACAATCCAGGCAGAGCAATGACGTATCCATAGAAACAAGCAGGTGACAGACCCCCAAACAAAAAGTTACACAGTGCACCTTTACGTCAAAATTTTGAGAAAAAAGATATTTAAAATCCTTCAGAAATCGTCGCTTCTTCCCAAAGCCACCCAACTGTCACTGAGCTCTGAAGTGTAAAAGTAGAGTGAATAAAGTATGAATGAGCTTTTCTCGCCCTGCTCTCTTTCCCCTCCGCAGCTCGGTGTATTTGTTAATAGCCACCACAGCCACACTTCTGTCACATCCATATTTGAAAGCTCATTGTTTACAGCTAAGTCACATCCTGCAGAGTGAGGACATCTTTTATTAACCGTGGATCTGATCTGGGTGCATTTCTAATCTGACACATGCAGTTGTACTCCAACACATCAACTTATATTTTAGTCCAGTCAGTCAGCAGTGCAGTGGCTTTAAAGTTGTTTGTCTCTATGGAAATGTTCTTGCTTTGCTTGGACTATTCCACAATGTAGCATTAAACCTGTCTGCTCTGCATTTATTCAATTACAGGCATATTTTTATTGCTCCAAAATACTTTCATTCTTACTCAGTCATGATGAACTGTCTGTGTGTTTTGTATATAAATAAAAAAGATAAATAAGCATCAGAATCTCCACCAGAAAAATTACATTGTACTCCTAAAAGTACTCCAAAGTGCCTGACATGCAGATGTGATTACTGTTATATTTCATTTTACTTGTACTCCTATCTAAGTATTTATTATTGCAGTAACAGTACTTTTCTATTCTATAATAAATGTAATATCATAACTAGAAATGTAATAATTGAAATGTAGTGATATCGTATCATCAGAAGTATCACAATAACATCCTAAATGATTTGTTTTGGTGCAGCAACAGCTAAAAAAATTGTGAGAACTACATAGACCATGATGCTTTGCTCTGTTTCAGTCCAATCTACATGCTGAAATAACTGTTATGACAGACTTTAAAACAGGGATCTCCAACCTTTTTCCACCTGTACAAAAAGAAAATGCCAAAGAGCTAAAAACTTCACCCTCGTTGGGATGGTTGGTCTAAATAAACTTGTGAAAAGAGTGTGTAACATAATCTGAGGAACTTCTGACACTCCGCTTTTCACTTTATTGCCATTTTCTGTATTTTGGTTAAACAGATGATAAATTATGCTCTTCTTTACTGTTGGCAGGGATCTGAATTAGTCAAAAAAATGTGATAGTCCTGTTTTAGACCTGATGTAATTTTTGTTTAGTCTTAGTTTAGTCCTGGTTTGGATCAAATCGGTCAAAAATAGGGACATATGGGACATTTCTTGTATAAAACTGGGACAAATCACTGGTTTTGGATAAATCTGCTGAGCTCAAAACTGGGACTGTCACAGGTAAATAGGGAAGTCTGATCACCCTATTTAACGGTAGCATAGGAAAGCTTTAGATGGGGAACAGCTAGATATAAAACATAAACCTTTATCCAGTTATTAGTGCACAAAGTTAGATAGCAATTTGTTACTTTAATTAGTTAATTCAGAAATCCCTTGGCAAGCTACTTGAAATGGGGTGGGGAGCTATTGGTAGCTCCCGAGCGACAGGTTGGAGATCCCTGCTTTAAAAATCTTTTTTATTTGGGATTTTTGGATGACGAGAGAAAAGTAGCCTACTCACAATTTTGTATTATTATTTTTTGCGTCTACAAAATATCGCAATAAATATCGCACAGTGAGATGGATATCGTGAGAATATCATATCGAGAGATTTGGATATCGTTTCATTCCTAATCATAACTCCTCAAAACCAATGCAGTTGTGAATTCTAATCCTTTAAACTTCTTTTAGCCACCAGCTGGATGTTATAAATTACACTTAATAGTCACACTCATACACCACAGACACCAGGGGCGAAGCAGGTTAAGTGTCTTGCCTTAGGACATAACAATCTATCAATGATGTTATAATAATAATAATAATAATGCATCATATTTATATAGCGCTATTTTGAACAGACTGATGGAAGCGAGGCTGCAAATCTGGTTCCGAACACACACCACTTTCATACAAGGTAATGTGGATGAAGTGCCTTGTTGAAGGACACAACAGTTTTTTCAACTGCCCCCCCCCTGTAGTTCCTGGTTTTCCCAGTGTCTCCCATCCAAGCACTAACCAGGTCCAGCCCTGCTTAGCTTCTGAGATCTGACGGGATCAGGCTTTGACAATCTGATACGACCACAAAAAATGTGATGCTGAAAGCGGGATTCAAACCACCAGCCTTTGGATCAATGGACACACACTCTACCGTCACTCCAATATAACGACAAACTATTTAAAAAAGAAAGGACACCACACAGAGTTAAGAGTAATATTATCAGGAATGCTTTGGCTTGCATTTTTTTCACTTTCATCTTTTAAATTTTCCAATATTTCATTTATTTTTTTTTCTCTCAATCTTTTCTTGGTCCAATTTAAAAAATCTTTTGAATTTTCTTTTTTTTTTTTCGTTCATGTGTTTCAAGCATCCCATTCCTCCCTCTTTATTGCCCAAAGCAAACATGCTAGTAAATTAGAAATCCATTTTTACAAACAAAATACATGAAGAAAATACGTCCACATCCTGCAAATATAAACAGTAACATATCCAAAAAACTATTGTCCAATAAACATATTACACATTTTTACACTATTGTGATAGCAGTAGCATACAGGAGTTATACAAAATTGAATCAAAGACCTCTGTATCTTCACAAGCAAGAGCCCTGTCCAATAATGGTATTACTTAAAATCAGCTTGTGAAACTGTTAACAACAAAATCCAAACATTAAGAGATGCTATGCAGATTTTCAGTCAACAAGTAGATAAGTAGATAGTGTTCTCTGGGTCTTGGAAATATAAAGCAAAATATGCATTCTAAGGGAGACCGAATTCTAGATTAATAGATATTCTTGTGTTTTTTTATCATTATTCATTGAACATCCCAGGAACACTAGCTTACAGTATACAGTATAGAGAAACCAGTGTACATGCTGAGCCTCACAGATGCAAAAGAAATCAGAATATTGTGGGAAAGTTTGATTGAGTTTGAAAGTGAAGAAGGAAGTTTAGCAGTTTGCTCACTAACCAGAGGATTGCTGGTTATATTACCACTTTGTCCCACTGCCCAGATAATAGGGGAATATCTCCCTCTGTATAAATAAATAAAATTCATCTTGCCATAAAAACACTGGAAAGTAGGTTTTCTGATTTTGTTTTCAACCCAACATACTGCATGTATAACCTATGTGTGTAGATTTTTATTTATTTTAAAAAAAACACTGTGCCTAAGTAATTATGTAAGATAAACGTTTTAGACTTTCCCACAATATTTGGATTTATTTGCATGCACCCAGAGTGAGTCAGCTTCTTGTGTCTTCCATTTGCCACAGATGAATATTGTGCAACTTAAAATGTGAGTATGCGAAAAAAAAAAAAAAAAAAAGGGAGCACTCAATTTAAATAAGCAGAGACACTCTTGCTTTGCATTTCTACCTGACATATTAAAACAACAAAAAGATACAACAGTAATTACTCTCTCAAGCATTTACAAAATGTACAAAAGTAAATGTTAACTCTTGTAAAAATTCAGCCGTTTGCTGATTGTAAGGCAAAATTATATATATTAAAATCAACAACGTTTACATTCAAACCCCTGTCTTTAGATCACGTGAGATGACCATGTCCTAACAGGCCTTTCGTATGACTTAAGAAAGAAGTGTAAGATACCAAACAGACAGAGTGAACACATACTTTATGCACTAGACAATTGTGGAAAGTGATTGTTGTCAGTAGTACTTTTCTAACAATTACACAGAACTCTCAACTTTCAGAACTCTTGTGTACTGAAGAAATGTGTGGATTTTAGGGGATGACTATATATTATTGAACAGACTTTACCGCAATATTCTAGTGCACAAAGATGCTTCATGAACGGGAGAAAGCTTCCTATAAAACCGTATTAGATGTGAGTGGAGAACTTGTAAACGTCAGTGTTGTCTATTGCACTGGGATCCTTCTGTACCTGCGCTGGCTTAAGGGACTGTATTCAATGTACTGGAAATGAGCATGCAACTAGTGCTATCAAAAACGGCAAGCAAAGTAGTGGGTAGTAGAAATGTACATGGATGTTTTTAGAGGTCATATTATACCTATTGTGTGAAATCTCCTTCAGGTACTGCACAGTGCACTTGTGGAAAAATAAAAATCTTACTTCTTACTAGAATTTGTGATGGAATGGGTGTGTCCCTAAAACTTGGGACAAAAAGTCTTCAAAAATGGCGTTTAAATACAGAATATGTATAAAAATACCTATTCACAGTAGACACAAATGTTGTGCATTACTGATACGAATCGTCTGGTAAGCACACTGAAACGTACATAGATTTGTACTATATCTATGAGGACAACTTAGACACGTTCTACTCTCAGCAAAAGTGAGATATCTTAATCAGGTTTGTGTTAATATCGAGGGTAAATAATTCAGCCCTCTGTGTCTTCTGATGTTACCTAAAGACTTGTGTTAAAAATAATTTTGCTTCAAAATACTGAACACAAAACAAGATCAGTTTTTTTGTGGAGGGGTATTTCACTATCGTCTCCAGGATCTGCTCTCATACTCGTCATCTTCGTCGTCATCCTCCTCCTCTTCCTCCTCCTCCGCCAGAAAAGAGCCACTCTCCTTCTGTTTGGGGAGAAAAAAAAAAACACACACACATTAGATTAGCTTTGTTGTGTTTTTGGCTTTTTAAACATCAAAGAAACCCATCACTGATAGCAGCTATTCGCTTGATGATCATAATCACACAAGATAAAATCTGAGCTTTTGAAATGTGTTTTGTCATACCGAGCTGTCCTCTTCTTTGGCGTCTTCCTCCTCGGGTTCAGTTGTGACGGAGGGGGTCTTGGGCTTGTACCAAGAAATCTGAAGCACACGACCTTTGAACTTTGCTCCCTGGTTGGCGGCCTGATAATTCAAAGAGTGAAAAATTTACTTTGAAAAGTCTGGTGCTTTCGGTTTACAGGTGAAGTTCTGTAACTTACATTTTCTGCTTCACTTCTTGTTTTGAATGTCATTACAACACTGTTGGCATCATGGTCACGCAAATCCTCAATCTCTCCAAATTTCTATGAGAAAAAAATAAAATCAGCATCAGCTGTGTATAGCAGCCATTATTACCAAACACCATTTGTACTTTTACATTTGGGAACATGTTTTTGGTTAAACCCACCTAGACATTAGGAGAACATGCAAAGTGCACACAAAGATCCCACGCAGGGAACTGAACATGGGATATTCTTACCTGTTTCATTGGGGACTAACAACTGCCACTATAATTCTAAATGCAATCCATTCCTCTTTGCACAACACAATACATATAAAAAATAAGGCTTTATATAACTCTACTAATAACTCTACTAGTTTAAAGCAATAAAACTACTCAGGTCCAATAAAAGCAAATGTATCAATAACTAAAAGGTAAAACTATTCAAATAAATAGAAGACACAGAGGACCACATACAACTTGAGCAGTGTTAAAGCCAGAGAATAAAAGGGGGTCCTCAGACAGTATTTCAAAAACTCCACTGTCTAAATACAAACATATTCCTGAAACTTCCTCCAACTTTCTCGTGAGTTTTTCATACCACAAAGTGCGGCATTAGCTCCTCCTTCTCCTCCTGTGTGACCCCCAGGATGGCCAGAGCTCTGGGCCTGTGGTCCACCACCATGCGGTTCACGGTGCCCCCCCTGCCCAGCCCGTCCCGGCTGCGTCCTCTGCCCCGCCCCACGTGTCCTGCTCCGTGATCAGCGGACATCTTTCCTCTGCCCCGGCCCCGGCCTGAAGGAGAGCGGATCAGGCCTAACCGTGTTGCCTAAGGAGACAACAGAAAAAGTCAGTTGGGCAAGAAAAACAGGTTAAGAGGAGTCTAATCGTGAAATTTGTGTCTTGTCCCTCCTCTACACACAAAATACGAGATTGGGTCTGTGAGAACAAGATTTTGAGATTGACATAATTTATAATGCATTTATTGTCCATTTTACAATTTTGGCTTTGCAAAATCTACAAAGCCAAAATTGTTCCAAAAAAGCCACTGTTTTTTGGAACTAAGGCCTCTCAAAATGTCTTGCCAGAGCTTAACCCTTCTTTGTCCAAATAAAATGTGAAAACATTGGTGACATTTCAGATCCTTTTTCTCATGTGTGCACAATCTTGTCAATTTCATCTTGTACCTACTTATTTGCATGAGGTTTTGATGGAAAAGACCCATCACACATCTAATCATGAATGCTCATACATAATATTGTGATGAGGAGGGTTCTGTACACAATAACAAATATTTTCAATCTCCATCAGTCTTCTGCAATGTACCAAACATAACTTGTTTTTAATCAGGATTACTTTTTTTCCTGCTCTTTAACCAGACTTTCTCCGCCCTCATCCCTCTTTCACTTGGGTCTCTAATTGTCGCTCTACAGTTTGAACCAGAACTAACAGCTCAAACTTTAATGAGACAGTTCTCAACAGTGAGAGGCTGTGTCTGATTTGGACTGGTTGCCTGCTCCTCTGGGCTTTCTTAAGTGGCTGAAGTTTAATGCGCAGAAGGAGGGTTGGCCTGGGACGACGGGGACCACATGCATTTTTAATGTCGCACTAATTTAAGACCCAGGGGGAGGAGAGAAAGAACATGTCAGGATAGGAGGGCTGTTACTGACACAAAGTCAGGGATCAGACTGGTCTTTGACACTGATGATGACCTTGTACAGTGTTTCCCTGCAAAGGGCATTTGTGTTGGTTATTGAAGCCAGGTCGAAATTACAAAAAAAAGTGTTTAAAAATTATTAATTGGCAATAGATGTTGGCTATATGTATATGTATATACTATATGCCACCAAAAAGAAATAAACTTGCAGTGTGATCTTCCAAATGTGTTTCAACTGACATTGTTGCCCAAAATGTTTGTAGTGCTTTGACATTTCAATCAGTGAAAACTCTTAACAAATGCAATATAGAAAAGTTTAATGGAATTGATAGAAGCAAAAAAAAAGTTAGAGTGCCTTTAAATAATAAATTCAAGCAACAGGTTGTCAAATGATTGCTTATTTAGATGAAGGTGTAGCTTTTCTGGTTTGTGATGCTTCAAAAGAATTTTGAGGACACATTTCCTGTAGTCACTAGTTGTAATGTACAAATTAATGACATCTTTGTTAGCAGTTTGGTGGTCTTCTCATCCTGTGTGTGCGTGTGTGTGTGTGTGTGTGTGTGTGTGCGTGCGTAGTGTGTTAGCGAGAGGCACCTCCACTTGTAGCTGCCCCAGTTTCCTCTTGAGGTCGGTGGTGTCCTCTCCAGAGTTCATCTTCTTGTGAAAGTCGAGCTCAGCATCTAGCAGCTCCTTCTGGGCCTAGACGCATTCAGAGTCACATACAAATGTACTGCACATTGCATTCAGTATCAAAGACTTAGCACTCTCAGATCACAAGTGTTGTGAGAAAAACAATATCAGCATTTATGTGATGACTAATATAAGACCTGAAAGTAACATTGTTATGGGAACTGCAAAATGTTGCAAATCTCTGCAGATGAAAGCAACCAAAAAAATAAATATAAGTCTAAATAAAATAAGTCTAGTTGGAAAATATAGATATTAAGGTGGTCACAATACTAAACTTTGAAACTCAATTTTGATACTAAAGAATATATAATAGAATACCTACTTTCATAGCCAAATGATAATTTTAAAAGCTCCTTTTTAGTCAATGCTGAAATTTTCAAAACAAAATAATCTTATTATACCATGCGGTCTTTCACTAGTTCTGTTAAAACTCAAGTTGAGACTGTTCCAAATTTGTTATGTGAACATTCTTTGCAGTATAGTTAGTGGCTTGAAAGAGCATCTATCTACAATACTAGTTTTAGTCATCGATTAGTATCTGACTTTCGATACTTTTGACAACCCAAATAGACATGCAAAAGTCTTTCCTGATGTCGCCAACTACTAAATAGGCCACTGAAACACATGCTTGAATTTAGGTGTTTTTGACCAAAAAGCTGTAAATGTATTTAGTTTGCACTAAAATGGCAGGAATAAAGGAATAAAGGAATAGTCGACAATGCTGTTAAAACATCATATAGACAGTGTAGTCATGGAGAAAAGTGGATTTAGTGTTTAGTTCCACTTTAAACTTACATCGCTTTTATTCTTGGGCTGGTTGTTGTTGGCTTTGGCACTGGTGACCTGAGCGACTGGGTGCAGGTCATTCTGAAGCTGGGAGATTTTGTCAGTCAGCTCCTTCAGTGTCTTCATGATGTTTGCTCTTTCTTCTGGCTTCATCCCTCTGTTTTTCTCCAGACGGTTTATTAAGGCCTGAACGAATGCAGCATTACGTAAATAAAAAGAACGAAGCACTGCAAATAATATACAAAATTAAACTGTTACTTCTAGAAATTACTCACTTTTTGGCACTCAATTTGTTTCTGCAACATCTCCTGCTTCTTCTTCCTCATGTCCTGCTGAAGTTTTAATGCTTCCTAAAAGAGAGCAAAAGGGATAATAAATAATAATGATTTTGCAGATTAAAAAAGTTACAATGTCAGCTTAAAAAGTTCTTGCCTGCTTCTGCTTGAGAGCTTCTTGTGCAATGAGTACTTTGGCTGTTTTCCCCAGACTCTTTGAGGAGGACTTTAGGGAGGTCGGAGCGAAGGGCGCTTTCTGAGAGTTGGTCGGAGCAGATGCCACCTACAAATGATAGGCCGGTAAGTACAGCACAGAGCAGTAAAAACAAATAAAGAAAGTCAATGTGCTCAAAAGTACAAAGTATCAACAGTACTACAGAAAATAAGTAAATATGTGCGTATCTATGTATGTATCAAGTGAATTATATGAACATGACTATATGATGTATTAGTATGTGTAGGGATATTTTCACAACTGCCTTAAATGAGGAAATTATAAAAACCTAAATACAGGTAAATAAAATAACAGACATTTGTGTACTCATTTCTTGATGTAATTAAGCCTCCTTTATAAGCACATGGGATATCTTGGAGTCTTTGTATGGACCAAATACCAATAACAGTATTACCACTGACCTGATGAGTTGTTTCAGTCCTATAAATGTTTAAAATGTGTAAAAACTTGTAATATATAAAAAGTGGTTCACATCTGGTCAAATTTTTCTATCCACCACACTGCCACTACACTAAACATACAAAATGCTTAAACAAAACCAAAAAAACCCCTAAAAAAAAATAAAAAAAAAATAAATAAAAAATAAAAAGCATCTTCATTACCAGCATTTCACATATATTCTGCAATATTAAACTCAAGTTATGACTTTCAACTAACTACTCCTTTTCCTATGTATAAAATGCCTTTATTTGGTATAGATGAAGGTGATGGTCAGGTGTAACCGTACAGGGGCAGGCTCAAGACTGGCGCTGTCCGCTGGGCTCACACCGGACGTCCCGGCTGTGGTCTGAGGCCGAGGTTTATGCACAGTCTTGTTCAAAACGTAGGCAGCTGCATTGTGCTGCTTTATCCCCTGTAGACAAAGGAACAAAAAACAACCATTTAGATATAGGCATATTTTGATGCACTATCCACCATCTTCTTGTCTCCAAGGAGATTTCATCATTTTGCCAAGAATGTTCCACAACCACGTATTAAACCTATTCATTTCCATGGAGACAAACGGGGCAAAACAAGACACATCTGTGGAGCCCTTGAATAAATGCAAGATAGATACTGTAGGCATCATGCTTTAGTATGGACAAGTTCAGGCAAAGCGATAAGATCTCCATTGAGACAAGCAGGTGGCTGATCTCCTATCAGAAATGTTGCATGCTCCTTTAAAAGTAAAAAAAAAATCATAATAAATATACATTCCTAGTAAAAATGTCATATAATTGGGTAATAAGCTGTAGGCAGCTAAATTGTTCATGCAAGAATCTACAAAGGCATCATCAACCCTGAAGCAAACCCTATTGTCTTGAACATGAACAGTAATACCTTATGCACAGTGGGGTGCTGGGGTCCATGGTTGGGTTGCGGTGGCACAGTTTGGGGTCCTGTGCCCTGTTCCTGCCCTGGGGCCCCTGTGTGGTTGGCCCCGGGCTCTCGGTGCCAGTACACTCTGATGAAGCGGTTGTTCAGGACGGCCTCAGTGCTGGAGATAGCCCGCCTCGCCTCCTCATTCTTTGTGTACTGGATCAGTGCTGCCTCTGGGTCCCCACCAAACACCACCTGCTCCAACAAGGAGAACTACTCAGTAATTTGTTTTTTCCAAGACTGGTATACCGATAAAGCTCAATTTCAAATTCTTAATGTCATTTGTCATGTCACTTTTTGCAGTTCAAGTCCTTTGTTTAACTTTTATATTGGTGTCTAGTCTTGAACACCCTTTGGCTAAGTCTAAGTTTAGTCCTATCTTATCCCAGATAGTTAGACTGGTTCCCTTTTTTAATGTAAAGTGAAACTTAAAGTCTGTACCTGGATGTTGACGATGGTACCAAACTTGCTGAAGTGCTCGTTGAGTTTGGTGATGTTATTTAGCTCCCGTGGGATCTTGCGCACCTCCAGTTTGGTGTTGATATAATGGTTCCTCTTAGGAAAGGGGCCTTTGTGTTGGTTGTTGAAGCCAGGCCTAAAATAAATAATAAAAAAGAAATTATAAAATGACAATAGGTGTTGACTATATACCATCTACTATACCACCAAAGACAAATGCATTTGTAGTGTGATCTGTATAAATAGACATTTCTGCACTTTGCAGTACTTCTTACATTTTTGCAACGTCAACTAAGACTTCTTCAGACACGTTTAAACATTTCTGATGGTTTGGGACAATATTTTCATTCTGAGGAAATAAGCTCCATGCTGGTAAATTTTAAGACCAACTCTAGTTATGCCATGTAATATCAGAAACAGCTATGGCAAAGTGGTTGTAACTTAATAGCATTCAGTTGCTCCTGTGTCCCAGACAAAAGATAGGCCTCTGCCCTATGAGTCACCTTGTACAGAAATAAGGATCCTACAAGCTCTAAGAGGAAGCAACTGTTTGCTCAAATTTCAAGACCCTAGAATTTTTCTCTGACATAAAATTGGAAATGGTCAAGGCAATATTCTATCAACTTTCTGGGTAATTCTGAGACAATAAAGTGTAAAGTTCTGACAACTCATATAGCAAAAAGTAACAAGAGAAGGAGAAGTGGATTAGTAACGCACCTGAGGTATTCAATAAGGTCAAATCTAACCTTATAATCCTGAGAGGCATGGGATTGTTTTCAATGAATAGGAATATCCAAATACAAACTGAACAACTAGAGTATGAGTTTTGTGGTAAAACAGTTTTACATTGCTGTCCATTCCTTGAAGTTGTGAATGTATTGGCCTTACTTGTCCATCCAGGGCTTCTTGGCCTGTGGACCGTCGGTTGGGCCAGTCTCGAGGCTCCTCTTCCTGACTTCCTGCTCTGAGCTGAAGCGGTTTGGTACTGTAGTGCTGCTGCCGGAGGAGGGCTCTGTCTGGATCACTATGTTGGCAGCTGTTAAAATTCAAAACAAAACAAGATTTAGAGTAAGGATCATTTTATTTTTTGATATTTATTGAGGTCGTTGTGTGGTACCTCTGTTGCCTTGGCCCTCGTTGGATGTGAGCCCGATGAGGTTTGGGCGCTGTGTCTGAACCCGAGGAATGAAGTGACGAAAGGGGGCGCTGCGACCTGCTCCAGTCATGCCCGGAGCCTCAGGATTATAACCCTCTGCGTCATAGTTATCTGAACACACAGACACAAGCACAGCAGATCAATACAACTGAAAATGAAACCAAAATCACTACACCAAACTGTGAGGCCTTAAATTAAAGTGCATATGACAGATCTGACTCCTCATTTCACTAAACTTAGTAAACAGTTTGCCTCAGTTTACTAAAAAATCTTGCCTAGGTTCTGTTTTATTTTATTTTAGTTTAGTTTATAAATTTTACTTCCTGGCTGCACATGACAGCTGACACGTGCAGATAATCCTGTAACTGCTAGTAGCAACCATAATAATAATTAACAAGAGTCTGAATCTAAATTGCACACTAGTTAGTCTCTGAATGAATGTTTAACAGAAAAGGTTCTATAATGAAACACCTTTGCTTATTGTATTTTGGTACTTTTTTCCATAAACTGCCACTTGACTGATATAAAACTAAGATAAATATTTACTCATCTCACCACTATTTCTAATTACAGCTATTTAGCAATTAGAAAAAAAATCAAACCTGTCATATGCACTTTACATGACAGATCACACAAAATAATGAGAGCAGGAGAACGTTTCATTCCTGAAATTGATGAACAGTGTCATCTTGTGGTCAACAACAGTTACTACAAATACACAGCATCACACGTCAAAAATTAACTCAAAATCTAATACAACAAAATAGCATTTGTCTTACTTTCTGATTTATTTTACACTGAACAGTAAAATAATAGTTAATTGAAATAACAAAAAAAAATGAAAGAATGAGCTTTGTGTAGATGCAATTCACAGGAAAAAACAGAATCGGGTCTCAATCTGAATAGGTGCTTACATTCAGACTGGACAAACTGAGGATGCAGAGAAACGGAGGAGGACGAGGGAGGAGGAGGAAGAGTAGGAGGTGGCAGGCCAACGCCAGGCGGTCCAATGGGAGGAGAAGAAGTGAGAGCCGATTGGTGGTTGGGTGTGTCAATCCCACTGGTGACTATCAGTGGGGGTCCTGAGGGAGACACAAGCCCAGGCTAATGTCTCAGGGTCATCATCAAAACACTTCATCAAGTCACAGCAGCTCATCAAGTTAATGTGAGTATTGGCCCAAATGTTCAAAGTGGGATAAGCAAAGGCCAAACATGTTTCAAGTTATAAATTTCACATATTACACTTAATACATTTTTGTGATCTTCACATTCAATAATTCACATTCATAACTTCAAAACAGCACCACTTTCTGACCAAACTGTATCAAGGCACAGTTTCAGATATTTCAGATTAATTGTCTTTACAAAAGCAAACAAAAGTCTATTTACAATAATGCAACTTTAACCTCCATATTTGAGAATAATGTGGCAAATAACATCTGCATTGAAGGAAATGTATATGCCATACTACGTCAATTTACATCTGCAGTCCAACCTCAAATGAAGGAGTTAAGGCTCATTTATGCTCCACTTTCGTACATAAGCAGATCTGTACAGTTCAAGTATAGAAAACGTCACTGCAATTATACTTCCAATTGTTTCTAATATCAAGGCTGCATTTTCTTAAATAACCACTAGACGGCCCTAAAAGTCAGTTTGAGAATTGACCAAAACCGACAAAATACAGCAACAAATAAACAACACACAGCAGTTTTCAGATTGTATTTGTTAGAAAAAGAGTGCATAAAAATATAGTGAGGGAAACATTTATTTGTTTTGCAGCTGGTTCTAGTCACTTTTAAAAGTTTAACTTTCACTTAGAGCCCTGCACTGCGGGACTTGATGCAAAACAGTGCTGCACGGAACACATTTTGAAAGCTCACTGCGGGTGAGAGCGGGACTGCACAATGCGGGAGCGGGCGGGACGATAAACTACAGTCCCACAAACTAAATGAGTGTAAAGTAAAATATACAAAAGATTAATGTTTGCCTATCATACATAATTTGTGCTGGATATTTTGTTATGGTATTAATAAAAACATTTTAAGCAGCCTAAACTTGCACATTTTAAACAATTCATTTCTGCTTCTCAGTGTTTGATAGAGCTTAAGAATGCGAACGTCCCCCGGGATTTGTGGGTGGGATCGGGACAAAATATCACAGATGAGGGTGGAAATGAAAATTAGAATATTTTGCGGGCACGGGCGGGACTGAAAATTCTGTCCCACGCAGACCTCTACTTCCATTGTAAAGCTGTGTTCACTACTGCCGCCAGTGGTCTGTTCATGTACTGCTCTCATGCTCTTATTCCACATGTTCTGAGAAGATGGACCATATTATAGACAGAGCAACATAGATGGACAAAAATCTTGCCTAGAACGTGGAGCATAAATAGGCCTTTAGTCACAATGTTGAAGGCAAGAAATTACACACTATATTGATATCGCAGTTTTATGGAAGTATAGATGTGCCAGAAGTTTTGATTTAGAATATTTCATGATGAATGAAATAACCTGAATAAAAAAAATTGTTGAAATGGAAATTATTGGACAAAAAGAAAAAAAGGATTAATGTGATTATGTTTCAGCATCTTTAATTCAGACTGACAAAATTCAAGTTGCCAAATTCAGATACAAAAAAATTCCAGTTTCAGGTCAAAGTTCACCGCACATTCTGTTACTATGGGAACTTGCTAACACCAGGTGGCACCATACTCATAGAGGCCAAAAAGCAGAAGACTATTTTTTATAAAATTTTTTTGTTCAAGTTATTTCAATCATCATGAAATATTCCAATTCAAAACTCTGGCACATCAATACTTCCATACAGTTTAGTGCTACTCTAACCTTGATTTGTTTAACAGGTAGCCATTTCAGGGTTAAAATCAAATCAAATGAATTGAGCTATATGTAATATATATAAGTAATATATGTAATATGATAAAATACCACAATATAAACAGGTATGAAATATATTTTTTTTCCCCTCATATTGGTCAGCCCTACACCCAAACAGCATTCACAACTTGACTGAATCTGAAACTACTTACAGTGCAAGTGACTGCACCTCTTTGGTACTTACCCGGGAAGACCCCTGGAGGTGGTGGCTGGCCATAGGGGGGCATGGGGTTGATCCGTAGGGGGGGAGGGGGCTCTGTCATGGGAGGCAGAGGTATCCCAGGGGGCGGGGGGAGTACAGGCGCTGGGGGGAATGGCAACATGTTGGGCAAGTTCACATCGTCCACCACCAGGGGGTCGTTACCGTGGTCGAATGGGCACAGGTCGCCACGGACGCAGAAGCCCTTCTCTGAAACACAGGGACAAAAATATACCATTTAGAAGCGCGATATATTGCTGAAGAAAAAGCTATAAACAATAACACTAAAATCTTATTTATGCCACTGATACAAGTGTAAAGCAGCATTATAGCAAAAACAATTTTAAATATACACCATCATTAAAAATAAATAAATAAATAAATACAATGAAATAGATAAATAGCAAAATGAAACACATTCTAGATGTAGCAGAGTTGGCATAAATTGAAAATGAATCATAGAAGTTATTTATTTAACCAGCTCAAAATAAATTTTTGTACTCTGATACATATTTAGTATTTCCCACAGACCAAGCAGCATTGTGTAGCAGATCTGCAAAACATTGAGCAAGAGTTTTGTTAAAAGTACTGACCATTTTTTATCTATTCAGTAACTATCACAATATTCTTATAAAGAGCTACATCACAAGGTCTACACAATTCTTTTGATAAATTTTAATAAGACAGGTGGGCCGTGCCAAGTTCCTGAATTCAAGACGTTTAATGTTTATTAATGTGAGCAAGCAAAATCAAATTGTTTCTGCACAAAAGGCTGTCAAAGGTATTGGGAATCATACTAATCAAGACTAAAAGTAGTATCAAAACTAGATACTAATTTGAGCAAGTATCAATATTGCAAATCAATTCATTAATATTGAAATTGAATTTTTGAGTATTGTGACAACATTTTTTTTAGAGTTTTAGATCTTTAATTCTTCCATGGCAAGTTTATTCTACAATTCTGTATTTTTTGACACATATCTCGTGCACCCTACAGCCTCATTAACGACAACAGTGCTTACTGCTGTGCTATGTTTTCTTATGGGATGGAGGGTAAGTTTAGCCCTCCCTCAGAGGAGCACTGCACAGTGGAGCAGAGGTGTTGTGCTAAACAGTGGTCATTAGTGATGGGATTAGACAAAGCAGTTGGTGGCTCTCCTGAGTAACTATATCGTCTGGTGTAGAGGACATTTACATGAAAACACCATCGTACCACAGCTACAGGTGCATCTCTGCTCATCTGAATATGTTCCCCAGTGGCTCAGTTAAACAGTGAAGCATATAGTAGCTTGTACTGACTTGTGTTGGTTTAGGTTTTGTTAATTTTGATCATTATGCAAAATCTAAAACTATCAACTACTGTTCAAAATGTTAGCTCAGATTTTTTAAAATTTTCCATACCCAAGAGGTTATAAAAATGTGACCTCTTCACATGAAACACATAAAAAGTTTAATAGAGTTTTACAAGCTGTTAACCATGTCATAACAAAGCTCCCCCATCATTAGCTTTGACAAAGTTGTATTTTAAATTATTCCAGCAAGTTTGAGTTATTCAGCATTGTCCTGCATTGTCCCGCATTGAGGCTTGACACAAATGTGTAAAATCCCTGTTTATTTTACAATCATAACTTACTGTTAAGCATAATAAGTCTTCTTTAAAGTAACCACGTGTGGAACACAGTTAACAGGAACGTATTGTGTAGTAAACAAAATATGTAATTATAATAATTTACCAAAAAGAGGCGTGTGATTCCAGCAAAAGCCAGAGTGTAACTCCAAAGGAGGGTTGCAATAATCCCACCCACACACAAAATATTTACCATCATAGTCTCTGCAGCGCTGCTTGAGTGGGGTGGTCTTGTTGACAAATGGTTTGCCAGGGTCCAGCCTCTGGTTGCTATAGAAAGTGGACCAGCTGTCTGTGGTGCTGTCGGGTAGGTGAGCCGGTGTGACCACGGGGACACCCGGAGGCCCCGACACCCCGCTCGAAGTTGAGTATGGATGTGGTGGGGTGGGGAGCAAAGGTGATGGGTGCTGCTGTGAAGGGGTCCCTGATGAGGCTGTGGTGAAGTTTTCTGAGTCCTTCCTCTCCACATCAAACTTGGGCTTAAAATCTAAGCAGGAAAAAATGAATACATTTAGTCTGAGAATAGGCAGGTGGAAAACAGTATTTTGTAAAATAAAGATATGCAAAATAATTCCCTTCATCAAAATACAGAATAGTAAATGTATGCCAAGATACTAGAACACTTTTCTAACACCCATTGCAAATGTACTTACAGAATCACATAGATGTTTGGGTTTTTTTTTATAACATTTTTAATTACGTGAGGCAGAACATAGCAGTTTCTGTGTTGATATGCTTGAACTTGTTATACAAAATAACCCTTGTTATTGTGCAGTCCTTACAACACATGAATACTAAATTAGTCATAATGTTGTCCTGAAAACCTGAAGTGAAATAACTGAAAAGCAGCAACAAATCCAAATGCAGATCATATACAACCAGCACAAACCACTAAAACATGTACCACGTCCTCGGGCTTACCATTTATAATGTCCCTCTCATGTTGTCTGTAACAGGGGTTCCAAGGCCAGCTGTTAAATGTCCAATGTTGTTGAGCATGAAAGGCATAGTTCCTCATTTGTAAAAACACTGACAGCTGATATTACAAATGCACCCTAACCACTAAGCCAGTCCGTGTATGTGGCAGTGGCTCCGGTCTTCCCCTGACACCAGCGACTCAGCAATGACAGAAGGTGCTACTCTTCCTGGTGTGTTGCTGTTTGTGTGGGAGTGCCTCTCTCACCTCTACCTCCACGGTGCTCCCGGTCCCGGCTCTTCCCTCTGCTGCCGCTCCTGCTCCGACTGCGGCTCCGGCTGTAGCTCCGCCCCCGAGGGCTACCACGGCGACGCTCATGTCTCTCCCGCTCTCTGTGGGAGTCGTTGCCGCTTTTCCCGTGGCGATCAAAGTCCCGACGTTTGCGGTCATCACGTCTTCTCTCCTCTACCCTCCTAGTTTTTCCAAAAGAGTTTAATGCACTAATGACTTTTAGTATTATCAAGTTTTTCTCATTCTGCTGAGACTATGGTGATCTTTAAATCAGTCCAGAGTAAATTAACTTGTTCACTTTATTATGATAACTGTATAGCTTTACATTCCATAGTCAAGCATATACATAAAATCATGCTGAAATATCTAAAATTTAGACAAGGCCTGCCAGAGGTTCTAGCTTAAGCCAATATTTCAACAAAGTTGTTGTAGCTGATTAAAATAAAACCCTATAAATAAGGGGCTCCCACAGGGGGCCTGTACCTGGATTCATTAAAGTCAGAGCGGCTCCTCAGAGGACTCCTCCGACGTCTGTTTTCTCTCTCCTCTTCTGATATTTCAGGCTTAAGGGAAATAAGACAAAAATAAAATATAAACTAAACAAAGACAATCTACATGGTTATATAATTCATCATGCTACAAAATATATTCTTTACCTCCACAGACTCAGTTTTAGTTACAGGTTGCTTCACATCTTCTTTAGGGGTTTCCTTTGGAGGAGGATTTCCTAGGTAGTTTTTTGTTGTCAAGCTTTCAAACAGTTTTTCAACAAATCCCACAGTCTCTGTAATGAGGAAAAAAAAACAATGCATTTGCTGACTCAGGTACAACCTTTTCATTGCTTAAAGGAAATAAAATTTACAAAAAATATCAAGACCTTTTTGCAGGAAGACTTCAAGCTGATCAGCGCAAAGGGCTTTAAGCTCCTTCTCAGGTTTGTCTTTCTTTACAAGAGCCACCACATAGTTGGCCAGAGCTGCAGGGTCAGCGTCACATCTGAAATCAAACATGAATCACATTGCTTCATATTGTTTTATAGTAATCATCCAGCTATGAAATAGCTAACAAAATCTTGACCTTATATCACAAATAGGTCCCTGGGTTAGGGTTAAGATGATGCATGCTGCTCTACAGTTACCCAGAGGCACTGGCTGAAGGAGTTTCTCATTATGTTTGTTTAGGATCATTGAGAAAACAAACCTGAACCATTTCATTTGGCTACAAATAAAATTTCAAATAAGTAATTATTTCTTGATTACACGTGCATTGTTTGTTTGCATATGAATTAGGTAGATTAACTCTTATATGCACACTGAATACTAGTCCACATAATCGTATTATGTAACGTTAATAAACTAGGAGTCGTGTGTGATCAGCAGAACATATGGAAACGCATTCCTCCCACTGATCAGCACGCTCCTGGATACGGCATGTGATCATAAAATCGTAGTTTTTGTACTACATGTAGCTACATGTTTACAGTCCATGAAAAATGAATACGAAAAATGTGTACAAACACAGCAAGTGGACACTTCTTTTTCAGATATAAACAGCATGCTGCCAGTGCAGTACTGCATTCATTGCATCTGAAGTAGTTGGTAGCTGTATAAAGAGCTGTATAAAGTTACATTATTTCGGGGAAACTGCGTTTATAAGGACTCCAAAACAGTCCATGGAAACCTAAACGAACATGCGAAAAAGCTTCAGAACTCTCAACAATATTTGTACATAACGTGTATGTCCTAAACTGTGCAGGCGTCCACGGGCACTGGCTAACTCGTGCAGAAATTGCCATCATTTTCTAGCAAACTCATTGATGCACAGCGAGCTAGCGCAGCTACGTAGCATCCAAGCTAAATGTCATCTCACTTCAACACTTACATGGGCTCCAGGAGTTTCGCAAGCCACGTCTTCAGTGCGTCCACATGCTCTATGATCATCGTGAGAAAGACTAAAACACGATCTATAACGTTAAAATGAAAGTGCGTGTAAATAACCCAGCTTTCATCGTCAACCAATTTATAAGCTTAAAGGCCTATGCTGTCTTTACTGGCAGCTCGTACAAAACGGTTTACGGCATGGCAACACACAAGTCCTGTCGTAAAGAATATATTGAATGATATTGTAACGAATGGTGGTCCTGCTAAAATTATTGTCATCCTAGCTAACCAAATTGTGATTAAATAGAATATATAGATTATATATAGATGTAATGCAATTACCAATATCAAGCACTCATTTTCAATATTCTTAAATAAATAATTGTACGTGAAGACTTCATTTCCCAGACGCCATTGCGTGTTTCTGAACGTGGATGTCATCAGCCGAGCACCGGCGGCGTGGGTTTCCCTGGTACTTCTGCTCCGGCTCCTGTTTGATATTGACATTAACTCGCCACATATCCAAGATCTGCGGTCAAAATGACGGTATGTTCATTTTTGCGTGTCACCATCCTATAGTTTGTTTTATGTCACAGGTGCGTAAAACACTGGTTTATTTTATAATCATAACTTACTGCTAAGCTAATCGTGCTAGCTGTTCAGCCCCTGCCAGCCTCAACACTGGTAAAACTAAGACAGGAATAGATCCTATACCTTTGATTTCTCTCTAGTATTAGCTACCTGTGTACTTAAAATACGGGACATACATTCGCATTAAAGTTTCTTCCTCATGCTATTTAGGAGAGGAAAGGAACAGCAAAGTTGGACTTTTTGAGAAAGATAGAGCTTGAAATTCAGGAGAAGTGGGAAAAGGAGAAAGTGTTTGAACATGATGCCCCCACAACCATTGGAGCAAGTACAAAGTAAGTTTCTTTAGATTTTGAATCACACTTTGCACTGAAATGTATTTAACTGTACTTATTCTGTAAGAAGACCATGCATACATACTAACCCTAACCCATAACATGGACAGAAGAACAATGAAATAAGTATAGCTTGTGTTTTGTTCTTTTGCAGCAAAAACAAGTACTTTGTTACCTTCCCTTACCCTTACATGAATGGCCGATTGCATCTTGGTCACACTTTCAGCTTGTCAAAATGCGAGGTGATGGAACAAGCTAATCTCCATAGGTATGGGCAGTTCCGTATTCTGACTGATATATTGTATTTTGTCTGACTTATTGCAGTTTGCTGTGGGATATCAGATGCTAAAAGGCAAGAACAGCCTTTTTCCTTTCGGACTACACTGCACAGGAATGCCCATCAAAGTGAGTGGAGCATTACAACTGTATTACTTCTTTCTGTTGATCCATCTATTGTTCATTACAATCAATACTATTGTTCTTTAGTAATGTGTCATTTATCCACCAACGTGCAAAATTACAATATAATTAGATATTTTGGACTAACTTTGAACCTGAACACAAACAATAATGAAAAGTGTGATGTCTTAGGCCTGTGCAGACAAACTAAAACGGGAGATGGAGCTGTATGGAAACCCTCCGCAGTTTCCTGATGAAGATGAAGAAGAGAAGGAGAAACCCAAGACTAATGATGAAATTATTATCAAAGATAAAGCAAAAGGAAAAAAGGTGTTTTAAAGGGATAGAACAAGAATAACCTTTTTAATGATCATTGAAATTGACACATTTTTCACTTTTTAGAGTAAAGCTGCAGCAAAAACAGGGACCGCCACATACCAATGGGACATCATGAGGTCTTTGGGTTTAAATGATCAGGAAATTGCCAAGTTTGCCAATGCTGAGCACTGGTTGGAGTACTTTCCTCCTCTGGCTGTCAGTGACCTTAAAAGCATGGGAGTCAAGGTAGATATGTATCCTAATTATATTCTTTCTGTCTCACTGAAAATGTTTTTTACTTCTGTATATATAATAAAATACAGGTATATAATGCAGAGTTACTAGCAAACAGAATACTTTTAAAGTCTAAATTTTGTTGTGAAAATGTTTAAAGGACCTATGTTACGCTATTTTCTGATGTATGTTATGTTTTTTACTCCTCAAAAAGATACATGGAGTTGTAATTTGTTTCATTTATAATGTTTAACACACAAACCCTGCATATTTAGGCTCAGCTTCTCTCAAACTGAAAACACTCTGTTCCAAATTGTGATGTCAAGTGGTAATGCAGGAAGTGTTCAACTGTGTTTACTCCATACACCTTCAGCAGAATCATTTGGACGATTTCATCAGCTTGGGAGATATAGACAGACTAATAATAAAGGATTACTCAAACTTGTATGAATGAGATAAAACACAACTCCAGGTATCTTGTTGAAGAGGTAAGAGCATTAAAACAAGGCTTATGTGTAATATATCTTTAAAAGAAGTATTTAGTTACTATATCAAGGTGTATATTACTTGTCAAGCCTCTGTCTAGTGTTGGTAGTTTTTAGGCATTCAGCCCACATTTTCATGCTAAATTGGAGCCAAATGTCATGCTGTTCCTCACAGGTCGACTGGAGGCGTTCATTCATCACCACCGATGTCAACCCTTTCTATGACTCCTTTGTCCGGTGGCAGTTTGTTACACTGAAGGAGAGGAAAAAGATTAAGTTTGGGAAAAGGTGAGGTGGTACTGGAGGATATTGAAATATTTATTTTTGAAATAATACCTGTGATTCTGTGAACTTACATTTATTTCTCTTGCAGGTATACAATCTATTCTCCTAAGGATGGACAGCCATGTATGGACCATGACAGGCAAACCGGAGAGGTATATTGATATAAGGGAAAGTATTATTGTTTGTCACGAAAAGACTAATTCTTTTAAACTAATTATTTTGATGTTATTGTATTTGCAAATAGGGAGTTGGACCTCAGGAGTACACCCTCATCAAAATGAAGATTGTTGAGCCATATACTGCAAAATTCAAATCCAAAGTATTTTATAGCAGGTACAAAACAAAAAAATCTTATTAATGTAAATATAATACTGTAATAACTATAAATAGGTTCATATTGTCATGTGTCTTTATAGTGGCATGAAGGGCAAAAACATCTTCTTGGTGGCTGCCACCCTGAGACCGGAGACTATGTTTGGTCAGACAAACTGCTGGGTCAGGCCAGATATGAAGTATGTGGCTTTTGAGACGGTGAGCGGAGACGTATTTATCTGCACGCGAAGGTCTGCAAGGAACATGTCCTTCCAGGGCTTCACCAAAGAGAATGGTGTGGTGCCCATCGTCATGGAGATCCTTGGACAGGTACACATGGTGACATATTTACTTTAGTTTGTCTATAAAGGATTGAAGATATAATTAAAATTATTTTTGTTTCAAAGATTTCCACTATATGCCTTTTTTCCACAGCTATCGATTGACCACATACTAGTAATCTTCACATATTTGCTTGACAAACATAAATTCACCTTCATTTCTTTATCAGGATATATTGGGATGTGCCTTGAGTGCCCCTCTAACGTCCTATAAAATCATCTATGCACTGCCTATGCTCACCATCAAGGAGGACAAAGGTAACACTTGATAAATAAATGTATAATTTTAACAACTTCAAAACTCTGTATGATTCCAGCATATCTTATCAATCAATGTCAATTTCTAAATAGGCACTGGAGTGGTAACTAGTGTCCCATCTGATGCTCCTGATGATATTGCTGCTCTGAGAGATATCAAGAAAAAAGAGGTACATGTTCACTGAAATGCTAGGAGTATTCTATCAGTCTTTATTATTGAGCTATTTAACCATAAGTGTATATCATATTGCTGTCTGCAGGCGCTAAGAGAAAAGTATGGCATTGAAGACAAGATGGTGCTGCCTTTCGAGCCGGTGTGTAGATTTATTTATATCCAATATCTTCTCCTGACATTTTAACTATATGAAACGTCATGCCTTTAGGTCCCCATCATTGAAATTCCTGGCTATGGAAACTTGTCAGCTCCTCTGGTCTGTGATGAACTCAAGATTCAAAGCCAGAATGACAAAGAGAAGCTGGCTGAAGCTAAAGAAAAAGTTTACCTGAAAGGATTCTATGAAGGGGTGAGCCAATTTACATCAAGGTGCAATGTTTAAAGGTGTACTTTAAATGCATTTTTTGGAGAGTTCTACCGCTTACTTGTTATATTTATGCCTGACATGCTCCAACAGAAGGGGGTTAAACACACTGAATCTATTTTCTTACCTTGCCTAAGTGGATTCTAAAAAAAAATTGGTATCACTGTTCTCTCCTACTATTTTATTTCAGATCATGTTGGTTGAGGGATATAAAGGTCAGAAGGTTCAGGATGTCAAAAAACCTATTCAGAGGATGATGGTTGAGAAGGTAATGCCTTCTATTCTCTTCATAGATGGATGTGAAGTGCCTTTGATCCATTTGTTGCCGTCTATGTCATCATAATAATCTATTTACAACAGGGTGAAGCAATGATCTACATGGAGCCGGAGAAACAGGTCATGTCTCGTTCAGCCGATGAGTGTGTAGTGGCTCTTTGTGATCAGTGGTGAGTCCTACTTTTGTGTCTTAAAATGACTATTTATTTGTATATTAAATGTTATGTTTATGTGGGACTGCTTTATCATAGTTTCTCTAAGTCTCTAAATATTTCAGGTATTTGGATTATGGAGATGCGGAATGGAAAGCAAAAGCCAATGAAGCCCTCAAATCATTGGAAACGTAAGATTTTAATATTGATGCTATCTAAAGCAACTATAATACAATAGATTTTTTGCTATTCTTATATTCTAACTATTGCCTTACAGATTTTGTGATGAGACCAGAAGAAACTTTGAAGCAACCCTGGCTTGGCTACAAGAACACGCCTGCTCTAGGACCTATGGACTTGGTAAGATCTTAAAGGAAAATAAATAAATAAATAATAAAATAATTTAAAATAACTATAATAATCAAATAACCCTATAATCAGATCAGCCTTTTGGTGTGTCAGTTAATTTGTGTTTTTGTGTTTGTTTTTCCCCCAATAGTAATTTGTATTTTGAAAGACATAGTACAATGGATTTTAAAATGACTGTCAAGACCTGTACAGCTGTAAACAACAGATTACTCACATCAAATGTAACTGTTTATATACCACATCAATAATCTGATCTGATCTCCAGAAATTAGATAGTGATTTTTGTTGTGCATGTAAACATAGCCATTGATTTAAACTTAAGTAATCTTAAAAAACAAACAAAAAAAAACATTTGACCCTTGCATGTTTAGTATTTGGTCTGTAGAGGGAGACAGAGTATTACCAGTTTGTGTTGTTACCACAGGGGAGTCTTAAGTGTTTGAATAGCAAAAGATTTTGACTAGAAGCCATCTGGCATGCAGCACAAACACATAGTACAATAGACTTGATGTTGACTCGTTCTGTCAACAACCCATACATATTCACTACCAAACCCTCAGAAAACATTCTTTTTTTTGTTTTTCTAGAGCAATCACATTCTCAACATAACATTTCTATACTGCAGATGATATACTGTTAAGAATAATTGGCCACTGTTAAATTCTTGTGGGCACCTCATTTTATGTACTCACAAATCCAATATTCTGGTAAAATAAGGGTCAATATCTGTAAGAGTGAAATGTACAGCCTCTAACAAATAATGATTTCAAATTATTGCAATCTTTGGATATTATTTTGAGTAATGTTTGTTTTGTATGTTTAAAATCTCAATAATATGTCTAATGTAGAAGACATTTTGGCAGCTGGTTAAAATTTTTTATTTTAAATCTTGAATTGCCCACAAATCTGAATCCCATAACTGGCAATGGCTTCTCTCTTTCTAATGATTGGTTGCAGTTTGTTGTGTTTATAATTAGTCAAAGTAATATATTTCAAATCAAGATTAACGTAGTGTTGTTTCTTTTTGCGTTTACAGGAACACGCCTGCCTTGGGATGAGCAGTGGCTGATTGAATCTCTGTCGGACTCTACCATCTACATGGCTTACTATACTGTGGCGCACCTGCTGCAGGGAGGTGTACTCAACGGACAGGGCCCTTCACCACTGGGCATCAAGTATGGACTCTCAACAAATGTGATGACAAGCACTCACATTGAAATCAATACATTTAGCGCTGTGTGGCATTTTAACAAGAGCATAATGAGCCATTCTGATGTCCACTGACTGTCAAATGGAGGAAAGATAATATCCTCATCATTTGTCACCCTTTATAATGGCTCATTCTAATTGCATGTGCTAGTAATATTTAAAATCAGTAATTCATGAGTTCTCACAAAATAACTACCGGTTTCTTTATTCATCTTGGTGTTCGTGCAAATGAGGGGCTAGATTTACAGTTGGGATACTGGCAGTAAAACAGAATTCATGTGGACATTAACTTTGTAGTAAAGAAGTAAGCACATAGTTGAAAACATTATGTATGTGCTTATGAGCTGTTTATTTACAATTTATATTTTAGCAATATTGTGTAATAATTTAAAGTTTGGCGATATGCCTAAAAAAGGTTGCATCACAATTTTCTTAGACCTTAGAAACTCAAGCCATCTTCTTTCTCTTAGAGTCCACACTTGACTATGATTGGTTCTTCTTCCCGTCACCTCCTGCCACCAAAATACAATATCTCAAAAGGGTCAAACCATAACTAAGTTTTTTTGTAGTGTGATAATAAATACTCAGTCTGGGAAGCAACTGCTGATAGTTTATTCTTTTCTTTCAGACCTGAGCAGATGACCAGAGAGGTTTGGGACTTTATCTTTTTCAAAACAGCTCCCTTCCCCAAAACATCCATCCCCAAAGAGCACTTGCAAAAGCTGAGGAGGGAGTTCGAGTACTGGTATCCTGTGGACGTCAGAGTGTCCGGCAAAGACCTGGTCCCAAACCATCTGTCCTATTACCTTTACAACCACGTGGCTATATGGCCCAATGACAGGTCAGGCAGACACTATTTTGGACTTTATTAATTACAGATTGTTCTATTTGAATTACTTTTTTTCTTTTAGAGAAAATGGATCCAATAGTTAACCAATTAAGAAACTGCCAAAGGCTTGTATTGATTCTAATGTTAAAATACTTTTCTAAATCTGTTCAGGAAAGATTCAAGTTTATCCCATTTATGATATCACTTGTTGTCTAGTAACATAGTTTTGGTCTTACTTCACTTGTAATTTGTCATACCGCTATGCCCAATTGTACACTATTTAGCATGTAAAACTGGTCTGGATAATTAGATTGACATTTTTGGATATAATCTTTGCTTTATTACATACACCAGTGGAAAGTGGCCCCAAGCAGTGCGCGCCAATGGACATCTGCTGCTCAACTCTGAAAAGGTTACTCCAATCTTAAATGCATTTTAACATGATACAATATTTAGATTTCACACATTGTACTCATTCTGAATTGTCATATCGCAACTGATTTTGAGTCCAAAGAGACACTCCCATGGTTACTCTACATGCCACTGATTTGTACTAATTAGCTCTCGTAGTATCTCTAAACACAATAGCTGCACGCGACAGTTGCTTGGTAATGAACTTGTGTGGGTGGATACTTGACAATCTAGCTGCTAACATCTGTTTCCCTGTCCTCCAGATGTCCAAATCCACTGGAAACTTCCTCACTCTCACCCAGGCTATTGACAAGTTCTCAGCAGACGGTACACCTTCTTCAATTTATTCCTCTCCTGTTTTGTCTGTGCTGTTTTGTTCTCTGAGGGTTTTTCTGTCAGTCATTGGCAGTTATGACTGGAGGCACTTTTTTTTTTTCCTTCAATTTTTCAGTTGGCTGTTTTGTCTGAATCTATAAATGGCTTCAGGGACTTGTTAAATTAGCAGCTAATGATGGTTAAGGTCAAGTTCACTGTGACATTACAAAGCATATTTTTAGACATACTGATGAATGAGGTTAAGTACAAATGAAAAAAATCTACATGTTCTTTAATTAAAACAAAGCGGTCTGAATTTAACCTTCCTAAAATGAATGGGCCCAATTTGTAGTTTGTCTGTCACTCACATTAAAGGGCGTATATCATGCCATTTTCTAGTCTATGTTATAATATTGTGAGCTCATCAAAAACATACATGGAGTTCTTCTCTCAAACAGAAAACACTCACTTTTACCTTGTATTGTCATGTGGTAATACAGGAGGTGCTCCACTGTGTTTGAGATTCCATACGCACTAGAATCATTTGGATAATTTCACCTCTGTGATGTCATGAAAGTTTTGGAGATGTTGACTAATGGAGGGTTACTCAAACGTGTGAATGAAACAAAATACAACTCCAGGTATGTTTTTGATGAGGTAACAACATTATAACACGGCTTAAAGCTCACTATTCAATTTTGCATAATATGGGACCTTTTTAATTGTGAATTGCCAAAAGGAAAATACATCAAACATGGTTATATTCTAGTTTTTAATACCAACTTTTTTCATTTTTGCTCCCACCAGTCTACAACAGGATTATGTGGGGTCTAAATGAGCTCCAAATCAGATTTTAAAATTACTCAAGTAGTTTTGAATTGGAGACCAAACTGTGTGAAAATGTTAGTTTTAGGTTGAGCAAGGGCAGAAGTGGAGAGGACCCCCCCCCAGCATGACTCTCTGTTGTTGTTCAGGTCTAGATAGAATTAGGGCTGAAGTGTCCGAAAGGTCAACAGTGATTTCAGGACCGGACCAGGGAATTTCTCTAACTCGGCCACATTCGTTCACTGGACTCAGGCTTAGACACATTTATCAGCAGCAGGTTAAGGTCACAGCCAGAGTGTTTTACTGAACATGAACAGAAATGCCAGAGGGGAATTGAATGCAACAGTGCGTCATATCTAAAAGTCAGAGGTTATTTTCTGTATACAGCAAAATGGCTTTACAGTCTACAAATTATATACACTGCACTGTTAGTCTTAGGCAGTAAATCATGAGACAAATTACTTTACTACTATAGTCTTGTATTACTTACTAGCTACAAATTAATTCAAACTATTACAATGAAACATGATGTATAATCTAAATCAAGTCTGACATTTTACCATTTACAAATTAACACTAATTGTATCCACTAAGGAAGCCATAAATTATCAATTATATAACACATTCACTATGTTTCTGCCTCTACCAAGTCACATCATCTTTCTTCAAGTCTTTTAGCTTGACACTCTTCTGTATCCACCTATATATTTACTATCCACACTCTGTGCCTGTCCAAAATCATCAAAATACTGCCTCTTTGATTTTATCTCAATACTCCTCTGATGTTCTTTGCTCCATCTTTAAAGTGGAACTGTTCTAAACTAGAGATTGACTGATAGGTGTGTTTTCATGGCTGATGCTTATACCAATTGTTTAGAATCCAGAGCAACCGATAGCTGACAAGCTCTGCCGATTCTGCTGATATTTTGGAGCCGAGGTGTAGGGCTGATTTTATATTATTTTTCGAAAATGATGCTATTTAAATTTTCTGCAAACTCAGCCCTTTTTTTTAAACCACCCACACGCATAGGTACATTTTGTGGCTAAGTAAAGCTTTGTGTGCTTTTAGACAGCAGATCGACCAAAACTAAATATTGGCTTGTGCTGGAGATTTAAGAGTGATAGCCGATATGCTCAAAATCAAAATATTGGTCCGCCATATTGGCCAACCCATATACCAGTATATCTCTACTAGGAGTGTGTAAAAATATTGAAACATTGCTATATCTTATTGTTTAATGTGATGATACAGTATTGTGGTAGTATCATGGGCTGTTGTATCGATATATTGCCAGGAGTATTTTTTGGTATATTTTACTAAATTATTTTGTTACAGAGCTACAGTTTTTTTTCTTTTTTAGAGGGAGGAAACTCATTTTTTGCAACACATTTGATATTTTCACTGTTTTAGGGATTAAAGTGTTTGTGTTTCATATTCACTTTATGCAAGAAATGTGGTTCAACAAAAACTTTTACTGTCACAGCCGTGATTTAGCAGTAATTTTTTTATTGAATCTTTTCAAATCGATTTGAAATGTATCGTATTGAATCGAAACTGCACTATATTGAGATATGTATCATATTGTGGCTTATGTATCAAGGTACAGTATGTATCACATCAGCAACTTCTTAATGATACCCAGTTCTAATCTCTACTTTAAACTACAGTCTGCAAAGTAACATTTGCTCTAAAATGGTAAAAAAAAAATATTACAATTTTTACCATTTACCATTTACTCAATCACTAAATGTACTGTTGAGTTCCCACACTACAGTACAAATAAAACTCTAACTCCAGTGTTACTCATTACCAGTGTGATGAATACAGCATCGTAAAACATGAGTAAAAAAAAGACATAGGCAACAATATTGTAACTTTTTCAAAACTGACTTGCACTTCATTCTATTTTAAGCTAAGACTTGTGTTTGTACTTTCTTTCTCCCTTGATTATGAATAATGATTCTTTTCTATGCTACTCCATTTGTTTTGATGGCAGTAACTCATCATTTGGGCCTGTCTCTGTTCTGTACCGTTTGTTTTATTGTTGCCCTTTTGGTGCGTTATGTTCAGAGGAAAAAAGCTGAATTATAGATAAACATTTCCTGTGAAGCGCTTCTGATTCAAGCAGCAGAGCCTGACAGCACCACGATGTGTTGACTTTATATCTGCCAACCAAAGGGATGCAATTGAATTTAAGAACAGTCAAAGGTTCCTGTGCTTCAAACTACAATACATGATTGCATTCCCCTCTCGAACTTCCCACTACAGTGACCAAACAGAAATCTCTGTTTCTGTTCTTCACCACTATTTGTCTTCATGTAGCCTAACCCAGAGATGTAACTTCTATTTCCTCTTATTTGATTCTAGCAATTTGAATTCCGGATCTGTAGTACCAGCTTCCTTAGAATAGACTTTTGAGCATTAAGAGGGACATTCCCTGGATAAAATATTGGAAAGCATTCCTGCTGAATGTTAGGCCTATTGCTACAGAGCAATATTGCAATAAATGATACTATTGAAATTACTTTATGCCACTCACGCTATAACAAGAAAGCAAGATAATCCCATTAAACATAATTTAAAACCATGAGCTGCAACAAATAATCAACAGAATGAACCTATTATAGAACTTGTATAGTAAAATCTACATAGTTCAAATCTCACTGTACATTACAAAAAACTAAAATCTTTCCACTAGTGCAAAGAATAAGTTTATTATTATTATGACACATTACAGTCCATGCTTAACCAGAGGCTATGCTAAATGTTTATAAAAAGTCGTGGGAAGTGCAAATGATGGTAAATTAAAAAAAAAACTACAACTACACTAAATCTTCAAAAAATGTTGTGGAGTGGGATCCTGCTAGATAATCCTGTTCAAGAATGCAGTGGGCAACATTTTGTACAGGAAGACACTGCTCATAATTTTCTCTAACAGTTGTTTTTCCTTTCCGTCCAGGGATGCGTCTAGCCCTGGCCGATGCTGGTGACACTGTGGAGGATGCAAACTTTGTGGAGACGATGGCAGACGCGGGGATCCTGCGCCTGTACACGTGGGTGGAGTGGGTCAAAGAGATGATCGCCAACCAGAACAACCTGAGAACTGGGCCCGCAGACACCTTCAATGACAGAGTGTTCGCCAGGTAAACAAATATGCAAATGAATTAAGGTGAAAGAAGGTAGTATATACTTTTGCAACATGATTCTGTATTTTTCAAACTTCAGAAAATTCAGTTTCATTCACTATATTTATTCCCTTCTGATAAATAAAAGGACTTCCCTCAGGGCTACTGTGACAGATGGGAAACTATGAAACTCAACTGAATTGTATTGCTGAGAGATGAAAAAATGTGTGGTGTTTAAAACTGTTCATAAACATCCATAGTATTTTTAATGCGTTTTACAACTTTTTTAATCTTCTGATGCTTCATTCTTGTTGGGTTTACCGTATTTTCCGCACCATAGGGCGCGCTCTTAAGCCTCAAACCCCTTCAAAAAACGACCGCGCGCCTCGTAATCCAGAGCGCCCTATACACGAATCCACCCACACCGCACGCAAACACACACGGAGTAGACAGCGACCGAAACACACCTGCAGCCACACTCATCACTCCACACGGAGGAGGAATGGAACGGAGGAACGAACCGAAAAAGCGAGTGCAATGTGCCACTTCTAGCCAGAACTGAACAACTGAGTCACTGAGAACACGCCAACAATCCAGCGGTCCCAGACAGCACCCTCCCTACACGCCACAATTGAACAAAGCCGAGAGTCACCGTGAACGCGCCAAACAAAGTCCCACTGACCCATCGAGCTGTTGTGTTTCGTTTAAAGTCCGGTGCAGTTTATTTGTGAAAAAAAGTTCGAAAATAGACCATTTAATGAATCCAGAGTGCCTAATAACCCGGAAAATACGGTATTTGGTTTCAGCTCCTTCGTACTACTAGAATACTGCTAGTATTATTGAATAGCTGATAAAAAAAGAAAAAAGCCTTGATGGTGATTTCAATACCATAACAATAATTGAAAACACTTTTAAAACACACAATAGCAACAATTTTAAAACAGATCTCTTATACAAAATTGACTTTTCAGCGCCTTTTTACCATGTTATATTTGTTTCCCTTCACCATTTACTCACACAAAGTTTTATTTGGAGTGATATGTGATACTGTATGTCCACTGCTCTGTACTGCTCCAATTATATTTTCTTATTCTGTGATACACATTCATTCAGCAGCATCACGTAGTTATTTAGGTACAAATTAAATAAAAAATCTGCTACTTGCTAGCTAGCTATCAGAGATGCTGACAGTTTCACAGCTCTTTGTTGTGAATATTGTGATTTAAAATGTCCAAATTATAACATAACTATATAGTAGAGACAAGTACTTAGGTCTTCTTGAAATATTGCCATGTGGTTTTACACCACTTATAATATAGGTCAAACCATTTATGAAACGATTCACAAATTGTTAAAATGATTTATGCAAATCAACCATATTATTCAAATTACCATCTAGTTTCAGTAGTTTATTTGCTGAGATTCTATTACTGATGATCTGATAATGGAATAACCTCCTGAAGATGAACACATTTTATGACAATTGCTTAATGACTTGTTAATTCAAATGTGTATATAGTCTGAAGAATACTGAGTGTGGACAAAAACAGGTCTGATATTTGGCACATACTGTATTTTATAATGGGTTTTGCTCAGACCTCTTTGCAGCTTTAATACCATCACACTATTTCCACCGGCCCTGTTACACTTCAGTGGTTTTACAAAACTGAACAGCCCTCTCGACTTGTACAGTCTCGAGTTTTTGCGGCCGTCCTAAATGGTATGGGAAGCTGCCTATTTCACACTGATTGCATGGATTTTGTGTTCTCTCTTCAGTGAAATGAACGCAGGAATCTTAAAAACTGAGCAGCACTACGAGCGGATGATGTACAAGGAGGCGCTCAAGAGTGGTTTCTTTGAATTTCAGGTAAATAGACAATGAAACAGCTGTCCAATTACTTCTCATTACTACCATTTGTAAACTCAAGTACCTTATTCACCAGAAATGTTTGGAGGAAAATTAAGTAATGTTATTTTGCCAACTATTTTTGTGCAGAGAATTAGTTTGCTTCCTGCCGATTTGAGGTCACATATTGAGGCAGATTAAACCATCAATCAGAAAACAAACTCTAGTATTTGAACTGATTTTGTTTCCACTACAGAGTTTTCACACTCACTTAAAGGTTACTTGGAGCATCAGAACTGGCTTAGAACCACATCTTGTCTCTCTAGATACAGTTGGGGCATGACTGACAGGCAGATTAACCAATGAGAGTGACACATGGTCCATTCATGTCAACATGTTGGCTTATACTTAAAAAGGAGAAAAAAATAATGTAGAGGACTTTGAAATAGCATGAATCTCTGCAGAACCAACAGGCTCTAAACTGTTATTTGTGAAAAGAAGTTATGTATTTTGTTTTGAATGTTTTTTTGTTTTTCACATTTGAAAGGCATGTGCTACAAATTAGCAACTGATTAGAGCATTGCCGTCTCATATTTGTGAGAGCAGTGTTACATTTTGCAGTTTAGTCTGAAATTCACCTGAGGAACATTCAATTCATTAAGAAGGTGTGTAGGATATTTTATTATTACAGAACATGGCAACATCCCCATCACCAAGTTAATTAAAAACTGTTAAACAATGCCCCTCACATTAATTCATAGGGATGAAAAATATTGCAGGATAAATGATTTTCTGCATAAAATCCATTTACAAAATGGCATACTTACAGCATACTTTTTGAAAAGCTGAAAGCATTTCATAGGCTTCCTGTAACCTGCATTTCAACTGCTATTTGCTGTTTTCAGGCCGCCAAAGACAAGTACCGTGAACTGGCCATCGAGGGCATGCACAGGGACCTGGTGTTCCAGTTTATCGAGAGGCAAACCCTGCTCTTAGCTCCCATCTGCCCACACCTTTGTGAATACACATGGGGCCTGCTGGGAAAGGTAACTACCACCTTGCATCTGGCTTTTTGATTACTATTTTCATCATCTTCCCTGACTTTCTTCTTTCTCCCTTTTACTGCCCCTGAGGACTTACTCCTGACAGAATAACAGATTTTCAAACTTGTTGTATTCATTTACATCTATGAAAGCACCTGGGACCAGCCATGGAAAATATGCTTGTGCACTTTATATAGGCCTTTAGTTGTGGTGTTCCCATTGCTCATTTACCTCTGTGAAACGGCTCCTAGCACGCACGCACTCCCTATGTGGCCCTTCTGTCCATCAGGAGTCTGTCTTCACACTATGTTATTTTTATTTTTTTAATGCTGTCCTTGTGAAAGGGTAGGAAGCGTCAATGCATGTTCCCAACAGCACATCCAGCCAAGAATATTTTTAACACTTGAGTTTATGAATATGAAAAAGGCCCCACGCGGCTTGAAATGGGCTTTTCAACTGTCGCTTAGCAACAACAAAGGCCCCGTAACTAGTGTTTTTTTTTTTTTTTTTTATCATGTGTAAAGCATGTCAAACGCGGAAGCATACTGCTTTTATAAACCACAATAATAACTAGGCATGTGCAAGTCTCCTGGCCTGCATTTGTGGATTAAAAGAGAGTATCGATGGCATTACCCCGTTGACACAAAGGTTAGCGGTTTGATCACAGCATCCACAAGTGCATACCATTGATGTGTCCTTGGGCAAGACATTTAATCTCCCTTGTCTCCAGTGTCCAGATGGAGGTAAAAAAGTCCTACAAAAACATGTCAATTAATCTTTTTTTTATTGTACAGTGTGGACTTAAAAGCCACAAGGGTTAAAAACCAAAGTGGTGGTTCCATATCTGTAAAAATGGAAAGTCATGCTAGGGCCCTCTAACAGTAAAAATATGGCAGTAACACATTGGATTCTTAATTGGAATCACAGATGAATAAAAAGCGGATTGAAGAATTAATGAGCTGCTTGTGGTATTTTCTGTAACTTTTTTCCTAAGAGCAAATTAGAGTGGGAGCCAGAAGGTCACCTTTGCTCCAGTCCCACATGCACAATATAAAACCAATAAGCCGCGTCACCCGAGTGAATTGGTGATTTGCTAGAGCAAACCCGGCATGAACCAAAGGGAACAGCCAAAATTCATTAATTTCTTCATTTCATTGACTTGAGCATAATAGAAATGTCACTCCTGCATAAACAAATGAGGAAAATTAAGGTGGGGATCAATTTGTTTACAGATGTGTCTTGTTCTGCATCTCTCCAAGGCCATAGGTCTTCACTAATTAAAATGTCAAAAGTCCAGCATGTTAATTAGACATGGAGAGTAAATGGTTTGTGGTATATTTCTTCATCATTTACTTATTCTAATTACATTCTTGATGAGATTTATTGTACTTGTTGTTACTCTGGTAGAAAGGTTTTCAAAGGTCAATGGACAATGAGAGACATTTCAGCTGCCATCCTGAAGCCATTATCAGTCTGAAAGTACGGGTCTGAGGAGTTAGAATTTACACTGCTCTAAGGGAAGGGGAACAAGATTAGTACTGCCCTTAGAGCTCTATACTGTCTTTTCACACCCACCTATTTATGGCTCTTGAGCAGTAATATTTTGTGTGTATATTCTCTACATCTAAGAATTATTTATTAAATGAAATTAAATTGTACAATATAACAAAGCTTTAAAAATGTTTTTCTCCTTTCAGAGCACCTCTCTGATGAAGGCGTCCTGGCCCGTGGCTGGTCCTGTAGATGAGGTTCTAATCCGCTCCTCTCAGTACCTGATGGAGACCGCCCACGACCTCCGGCTGCGTCTCAAGGCCTACATGCAGCCGCCTAAAAACAAGGCGAGACCCATCACTCCTGTCCCTACACTTCACTGCCTGCCCATAACTCACCGTCAGCTTTGTGATTCCAGATTGATTTCTTTCTTTTGCTCTATCTTTCTTAGATCCAAAGTGTTTATGAAGCGCAGTAAATAAATCTAAGGTAGCGAAGTGTGGCTTCAGCCCCTCAGGGGCTGTTTAATACAAAGCTCAATGAGGCATAAAATAATGAAACTTTTGCTAAAGAAAGTTAGCAGATAATATTGTGCCCAAGAGCAGAGATTTGAGTAGTTTATTTCATCAAAGGCAGGCATTAAATTGACTTAAGTAAATTAACACCTGGCCTGATACAAATCTAGTTTTAACAAGTTATTTGAATAAAGGTAATAATTTTAAAAGCCTGCATGCATAGCAATATCACCAGAAGGAAACAGACCAAAAACAAATGCATTGTTTGTTATGTTAGTTCTAGTTTGTTTAGACCTTAGACCTGTCTTAGACCTGTCTTAGACCTGTTTTAGATCTGGTTTAGTTCATGAATAGATCATGTTTATATCTGGTTTAATAGTGAGATAGTCCTGCTGAAGTTCTGAATCAGCTGGATTCATAAATTAGAGTTTAATTAGAGTTTATCTTGTTTAGTAAAACTAGGACTCTGTTCACTGTCCATATCCATCATTAAATGTGAATAATCGAAAAGAATTGGTCTTGATAATTCAGGGTCACTTTGCCCTTTCTGTCCGAGTGTATTATCTGAATACCACACACTTCATATTATTATTATTATTAGTAGTAGTAGTGGTATTAAGATTTCGATAAGTGGCTGTGTGCGGCCTGGAGAGCAGTATTGACAGAGGGATATCTCCAGCTCCCAGCCTGTTTCGATCGATCTGCTGAAAATAGAGCTGGGATAAAAAGTGATACACTGGAATACAGAGATGGAACCTGAAAAAAGTATACTGTGCTACCAAGAACATTTGAAAGACTAATGTGTAAACAGCATGCAGAATTATAAAAAATATATGAATATGCAGATTCAGCCTTCAAACTTTGAGCAAAGATGTGTATACTTTTGTAAATCAAAAATATCATTACTTTTATCTTAATTTGATGTGCAGTATTTAAATAAGAAAAAATATAGGAAGTTTTGCTAAAGCAGAACTCAAAGAATCCCTGCAAAGACATAGTTTTATTATTATATTTCAAACTAACAACTAAATGATGATGGCTTTGAGCCATTTTAAAAGATGGCATAATTAGTGGTGTAATTGACACCAAGTCAGAGCTGAACCTTTTTGGCACAGGTACTAAAGGTATAAAGATCTAACTAAATTGTTTTTTCAAAAATAGAATTGTAAGATTGGCAAATGTGTAATACCTTTTTTTTTTTTTTTTTTTTTTGACATTTTGTTTCAACTAACTTAAAACCTATTGGTGTATATTTTGAGAGAAAATATTCAATGCAACAAGTTCATGATGTTGTTTTTTTCTTTCTGTGAACAGAAGGGTGACACCAAACCCCCTGCAAAGCCCTCTCATTGCACCATCTATGTGGCCAAAAACTACCCCACATGGCAGCACAGCGCCTTGTCCCTGCTTGGCAAGCACTACAAGGTATATCATCACACCTCAACACCATTCATTTATATATCTCCATTAGGGATGTGCACAACAGTCCATGTAGGCACAGGACTTGGCAATTCTCTAGTAACAATCCAAGAAATATGTAAATATGCAGTATTGAGGTATCACAATTAAAGGTAACAGGTGCTTCCACTGGTTTAAAAATGGCTACAGTCACTTAGAAGTAAATACTAAATGCCATAGATTTCATAGCCCACAGACACATCATATTATCATATATCCCTATGATGATGACTGATGATGATTTTGGTTCATTCTGCTTTCTGAATTGGCATTATACCTTTTTATCACAGTTAATAATTTACTTCATATCTGAGAACATGAATGATGATGATGATGATGATTCATTCATGATTCATACATTTGTAAAAACATATAGTATACCATCTTTAGTGTTAGATAGTGTTCAAATGCTTTGTGTGGCTCATGTTTAATAGTGTCTTGTTTATATTTTTGTCCCAGAGCAACAATGGAGTCCTTCCAGACAACAAGGTGATTGCGAGCGAACTGGGAGCCCTGCCAGAGCTCAAGAAGTACATGAAACGAGTGATGCCCTTTGTGGCAATGATCAAGGTACAGCTCTGCCACTGCAACACTGCTGTTATGAAACCCACAGTGGAGAGGTGCTTTGCTGAAATTTAAAATGCACATAGGAGCTTTAATACTGTATTGAACCTGCCTGGTTCCATCCCACTGAATTAAGGTGGGCAATATATAGGTGGTAAGACACATAACCTTGTCTGTAACTATAGAGCCTATATGGCATTACATTCAATGTAGAGCATTGAGGTAAACTTCTATACAACATAATTTAATTGACCATTGGAACTATATAGCACCGTTCAAGATACTCATTATGTATTATTCATTCACTTAGGCTTAGACTTAGGCAAACTTTGATTCACTTGAGAAGTTGTTTTGTTTCTGTTTTCCTATTGTTACCACAGCTGCCCTGGGACAGACTGATGGAACCAAGTCTACCCCATTTAATACAAACATTCACGCACTCACCACATTCATATACTAAGAAATGTGGGGGAAGTGTCTCTCATCCAAGTACTAATAACTAGACCTGGCCTTGCTTAGCTTTTGAGATATGATGAGATCAGCCTTTGACATGCATGAAATAAGTAAACGTTAACTGCAAGATTTAGATGTATGTTTTAGATGTATGTTTTTTTCTGTATTCTTAGTATAGTAAACATGTAATTTGTATATATTTACATATATAAATCTATAATTCTGCAAAGATTGGTAAGTATAGTGGCTTGTACATTTTTTTTTAATCCATATTTTACAACAGTTATCAAGAAAACAGATCGGTTAATATTCAGATCATTTTCTACATTCTACAGCCCACTCAAATGTGTTACAATTCACTGCATTGATGATTGCATTCCTTTGGATGCCAATATTTGTTTAACCATTGCTTGATTGTTTGTTCTCCTACTCTCACCCAATTGATTCAGTCTTTTAAATACACTCGCCTGACTGCTGCCTGCATCTGCTTTTCCATTTTTTAAGCTCACAACAACAAATGGCCCATTTGAAAACTCCAGTTGTATATTGAAAATACTTAAATTGTTTTTTATTGATCTGAAAGAGTGATTTGCAGGCTGCAACTTTTCTTTGTTCTGTGGGTTCTCTCTTGGAATACTAACAATATTGTTAATATTACAATCTTAAAACTACATCTCAACTTACTGTACCGAAACTATTTTATGTCAACATTAATCAATAAACCCTGCCTCCTCTTCACTGTCCACACAAAGGGGAGTTTGTTTTTGGGGCAAATATTGAATCCTAAACTTTATTCTTTGTAGACTGAGTGGAAGATATTAAACTAGTGCTTGTATTTTTGCCTCTTGTTGTGTTCAAAAATAGTGCTAATAAAAATAGTAATGATTTCTTTTTGTTTTCTTTCTAAAAATCCTTTCTCAAGCCTTGTTTTCAGCTTTTAAGTTGTTGTCTCACACTGTGCCCCCAGTTTGATGGTTTGTTTTGGCATCTCAAAGCCCTTTTCTTTATATTTTACAAACAATTGTGTCAGAAACACAGTGACAACTTGATACTGTTACTAGTTTTTTAGTGTTGAATAAAAGGTTAATTATGTTTTTCATTTGTTTTTGAATTGTTTTTTTGTGGTAGGAAAACCTGGAGAAAAATGGACCGAGGGTTTTGGACCTGGAGCTGGAGTTTGATGAGAGGGCTGTCATCATGGAAAACCTGGTTTACCTCACCAACTCACTAGAGGTAAGTACACTGTTGGTGCTTGGAAAAAAAGATCATAGTCATTCATTACAAATTATGAATTGCAATTTGATAAGTTATATAGTTTACTTTCTATTTATTGTTAAATTTCTGTTTACGGGGCAAGGGCATGGAAGTATTGTGTGTGTAGAATGCAGACTGGAGCATTAGGGGCTTTGGCTGAGTGACAGCGGAGCTCAGAGGTGTCTCACTGGGTTTAACAGAGGTGGGAGAGCAGCGCTTAAAATACCCACTTTTTGACTCGAGAAATCCAGACACTTTCATATATGCCAAAGTACTGAATGGGCCATCTCTGTCCACATAACTCTTGGTAACGCTAGAATAAATATCTGTATCTAAAGAATATTTACCTTCAGTTTTTCTCTTTTTCATTGATTGTAGTTTGGAAATGGACATTTAATTTGGGTAAACAATCAGTGAATATGTAGAATTAATTTACACCTGAGAGAAATACTTTGACTCTTTACACACTTTACACAGGACAGAATATATTTTCATCTTCCAGTTTTGAGAAATTCTAAATTGCAAATCTCATGTTAAGGGCTTATATTAAGTTAGTTAAAAGTGCAATCTTCACTTCACTACCAATAGTTTGTTTGTGCACTTTCTGGCCAATTACCTTGCTGTGTAGTAACTGCATTAGTCGTAACAAATTTTCTCTGCTGTGCACCATGAAGGACAAAACCCTCCATGGCACTAAGATCCTATCTCCGTCTGGAAAAGTGTGACGGATTAGCTGTAAGCCACATGTTGAGCCTCTAATCGCCCCTGGACCGTTGTTAACACTTGTAAACACACACATTGGCTTCCTGAAACTCATTATTTGTGTTTTTTTATATGATTATTTCTTTTTCGCAGTTGGAGCAGATTGACGTGCTGTTTGCGTCTGAAGCCGATGACAAGATAAAAGAGGACTGTTGCCCCGGGAAACCGTTCAGTGTTTTCAGATCTGAGGTAGCTACAGGCTGTTTGATTTGCCCGTTATGATTTGTTGTATGCTCCAAATGCAAATAGGGCTGCAGAACCATGTGCCATACAATGTAATATTATTATGGCATACACAAGCTGTATTTTCATATCACAGGAATGTCAAGCAATTAGTTCTGACTGACATCTGGTTATATAAAGAGGCTGTATTATGCAAAATCTTTAGACTTTTGGAGCTTTCTACCTTGTTATAATGTTGCCTTCTCATCAAAACCATGTCAGAAAAGGTGTTAGATGTCATCCATGCATGTTTGAGTCATTTTGCGATCTGTACCAGGCATGATTCTTACCCTCCCTACAGTTAGCAGTATGATCCTGTTTAAGACTCAGCCCCTAAAAAAAGCCTACATCCCTGATCATCCTACATGGCCATTTTCCATAAATGTACAAAAGCATGATAAAAAACTACACTACAACTTCACAAACCTGATACGATGTGCAGTAGTTTCATTAGCAGGATGCACGCTAAGTTTATTATAACAGCACTCTCAAAGGGAGGAGGGACTCAACTGATTAAACATGATCAGATCTATAATAGAAGTATAATACCCCCTCTTTAACCCTGGCTGAGAGGAGTTTGTTGCAGTTTTAGTTGTATGATGGAACTTTATTGATCTCACGCAGTGGAATCCGTCACGTGTATTGCCTGTAACTTATTTAATCAGTATATATTACTAAAATCGTCATTGGTCTTGATGAATGCTTTCAGCCTGGAGTGTCCGTGTCCCTCATAAACCCCCAGCCGTCCAGTGGTCTGTTCTCTCAGAAGGTGGACATCCGTCAGGGTGACAGCAGGGACAGCATCGTGCGCCGTCTCGCCAAAGTCAACCGCCTCATCAAAGGTCTGCACTGTTTATATTACAGGGCTTCATGTATATTCGCATTAATTCAACTAGGCCTGTCATGAGAACACATTTAGAAATACAGTATATTGGTGAAGAAAATATAGATGATAAATGATAAACTAACTTATGCCACCGAAACAATAACCATAAAGCAGGATTGCCCCCCCAAAACCTATTCCAAATGTACAGTACTGTTAAAAAAATGTGATGTGAGATACTTATTTTGCATTGGCTTAGTGAATAATAGGAGTTATTTATTCAACTCTCTATACCTCAGTTTGTATTGTAGTGCATAAAAGTATCAAAACGTCTACATCTAGTACATAGAAATAGTACTCACCATAAATAATGACCCCCTACAGCTATAGTTCTACCTTTCATATGTAGTAATTATGGTGTCAGGCTTACACTCACTAGTTAAAGACAATATTTTAACCTTGAGTTGCATAAGATAAAAGATAAAATGCACACTATTTGGAGCTGCTGTATTAAGATGGTAGGTAAAAAAAAAAAAACATTGTACTTTGCTCAGATTTTGTATTAGATATCTTATAGCAAAGTCATGTTTTTCAAAAATGAGATAACTATATTAAATTCTGTCCTGCTTGGTGACTCACTAACTGATGACTAAAACAAATTCAGTTCTGGAGCCTGGTGTCATATTACTATGGTATTAAAGGAAACTCTTGATATTAGATCCTGATTTCAACACCACAATCATATAAAAACAAACAAAAAAACATGTACCAAACAAATACCATGGGGTCAACTTGTCTTTTTTTTTTTTCAGTATTCTAACTAAAAATTTGTATCTAGTTTTGATGTCACTATCTAACATTGTAACATAGTATTAGGGTGTTTCTGATTCAAATCATAATTAAAGGTCTTGTATCACACGAAATAGAGTCTTGTAAAATTTAAGCCATGTTATAATGTTGTTACCTCATCAAAAACATACCTGGAGTTGTGTTTTCTTTCATTCACACATGTTTGAATAATCCAGGTTTATTAGTATGTCTACACCTTCAGAATTCAAAATGCTCTGTTCCTCTGTGATATCATGAGATGGAAGTTAACAGCTACTTTTTACCTTTATTTCAGTAGAGAGTGGCAATTCCTGGGCTGAAATCATCCAAATGATTCTAATGAAGGTGTATGAAGTTTAAAAACACGGCTGAGCACTTCCTGACATCTCAGTCACAAAGTGGAACAGAGTGTTTTCAGTTTGAGAGAAGACCTCAGCCTAAATATGCAGGGTTTGTGTGTTTAAACATTTGTGTACGAGACGAAACACAACTCTGGGTATGTTTATGATGAAGAAACAACACATAACATATATCAGAAAATGACGTCATATGGACCCTTTCATTTGCATTCGTCAGTAATCACAGTACCAATATTTTCTCAGCAAATTTCTCCATCAGTAACCAATATTTTCTGGATGTTATAAATTTTTCTATACTTTTTCTATACTTTCCTTTCAGCCAACCTTCACTGCCTACCTTCCCCATTTGTCGTAATTTAAACTGACCTCTGTGTCTCTCCCAAACACAGACCTGTCCCGCGTGAAGTTGATGAGGTACGAGGACCCCCTGCTAGGCCCTCGCAGGGTGCCCGTCCTGGGACAAGAGGAACAGGGCAAACTCCCTATTAGTGAAAAGTCTGTGTTCAACGTCAACCTGGAGCAGAAGAAGATCACTTTGGCTGACAACGGGCTGACTGTGGACATCGGAGACACTCTGGTTTATTTGGTTCAATAAATATACGACAGGAAAATGGCAGATTCAGCGGGGAAGTTGTGTGAAAAGTAGAGCAAATAAGGCCATATTTTGACCATCAAGCACAAGACTGTAAGTCAACTCTGAGCAGGTGATATAACATTCTAAACTGGCTATTTTTATTACAGCGGAGATGGAGTGGAGATGTGAATTCTATGGCAGAGTGAGTATTTTAATTGCCTGGGTTATGGTTAAATGTGCATTATGCAGCTTTCCCATTGTGGAATTAATCACCTACTTGTTTCCATGGAGATTTTATTGCTTTGCTTTCAGTGTTTCACAGTATTGCATTAAACTCTTTTCCAAAAAAAAAATAACAAAAAAAACACATCGATCTGACCTGTAACTTTTTTCCTTGGAGGCAGATCAGTTCAATGCCATACCCTGGAACCTAAGCCTTTTGCTATTGTAGTTTTAGCACAATTTCCCTGCTGAATAATTATTTGGTATTGGGACCTGAACAGTTTTGGAAAGCATTGAAGGGATAACGTGACTTTCATCATTTTCTGTCTCTGTAACACGGCCGTGATGGTAACTCTTGGCTATCTTTGTCATCACTTTTTACTTGTAGATTTCAATGTCAGTCTGTTGTCCGCTGTCTAATGCAAACAAGCCTAAAGTAAGACAATATATTTGTAACTTTTAAATAAAGTTTTCTGAATTGGAAAGTAGTAGTTGTTTTGATTATATATTGTCTGGCCCCCACTGTTTTAATATAGATGCTAATAGTGTTTTCTCGGTTCAAGGTTAGACGCGCTGTTCTCTGGATTGTCACGTTTCTTCTCCAGCAACAACCACTACTTTGACTTTTTCAGAAGTTATAGAAGTTTTAGAAGGAATATTCTCACCTTTAAACCTCTCCCCTTGCTGTGGAGTTGTTGTTTCTAAGATCATCAACTAATGGAGAGCCCACATCTATTTGTAGTGCAGATAGGTACATTTTATAGTAGTTTTAACATGTAGTGTTTCATCCCCATGCTGTAACTTTTTTTGTGAAAACTTTAAAATACTTAAAACTTAAAAACATGTTACATGTTGGGGGTTTTATGGTGCCACAGTGACCACAATCCCCTGGTTCTGTAACTACATTTCTAATTCATTTTTCCCATAGATTTAACAAATAACCACACACCCTATAATATTATTTAAGATCTGTTTCTGAACTGTTATAAGTTTCTAAGTTACTAAAGCATTTCTTTGAACTTGTGTTTTATATGTGCTTTTTGAACTTAAAACAACCTTGTGGATATTTATGGAACTTCCAGAACCGGAGCAGTCAACATGCGTTCTTACTGTGAGTGAGCTTGTATCTCTGCTAACTCTTGGCTTGGAGGGCCTCCATCTGCTTGTCTTCATGGAAATGTTGTCTTGGCTATAATGTAATATACACAGTATGGCTAAAAACATCTGTTTCCATGGAGATTGTTCTGAAGAATGACTTTATCTTTTTATTTCACTCACTGTTACAATCTGTTAATTCTTTAAGAAAACAAGGTACACAGTGTAGTTGACTAAAAAAACCAAAACCTCCAGCTAATGAAGTCAGCCTTTGCCCTATAGAGACATAAAAGAGAGATAGATGTGCTCAGAAATCACTACGCAGAGTCGTCCTCAAGGCTACAGGTATTGACTGAGAGTTTGGAAGGACGGAGAAGATGGAAAAGCCTGTTACAAATTTTCACTTGACTGAATAAGTAATACTGAAGTCTAAATGAAATCGAGCCTCATTATCTTTCAAGGCCGTGTGTACTTCATTTTACAGACTTCGATTCAATAAATGTGCTTAGAGCTATATGTAAATATTTTAACACTGGGATATTGGAATAGGGGAGCTTAACAGGATCGCTAACCTTTTCAGTATTAGTCGGAAATGTTCAGGTGATGGAGGGCGTAGCAGGACGTTTAATCACCCTTGCCTTCAGAGCCAAGATGGGTTCTGTTGCCTGAAATGTCTCGCAGTTTGGTATTAAATATAAATGTTAATGTTTAAAGGGATAACATTCATGGAGACACGCAGGCGGTGTACCATTCATCAGACAAGTGATGTAAGCACCTTACAATGACTACAATGACTTTCAGGAGATGTTGTTCTTCCCACGGAAATTCTAAACTAATCCCAGTCTCCCTCCTATTTTGAATAGGAAGTGTTCATGGGAGTGCTTCTACAGTAGCTCAATCAGCTTTTCCAATTGAATTTACACTGAAAAATGATCACCCCTCTCCTGTAACTGCTACTGTGAGCTTCGTCATTTAGGTCTTAAAATGTTTGTTTTAACCTGTTCTACATGATCTTTTTTTTTTTTTCCTACTTTATTTTGTATGTAAATAAATTCCTATTCAGTGTTGGGGAGTAACAGATTACATGTACCGGCATTACGTAATCAGAATACAAATTATGAGTAACTGTATTCAGTTACAGTTACTCTTTCACTGAGTGGTAATTGGATTACAGTTACTCTGCTGAAATAAATGGATTACACAGCAGTATTTTCCTGTTTTCATATTTTGGGCTATATCCCATTTTTTTTAATTATTATTTCAGTAATTCCACTCTGCCAGAAACCCAAACAGAATGCGGCAATAAGAGCTACGTAAATGTCGTGTTAAAATTGGTGGCGTCAGTCACACAGTGGACGAGGTCGAGGAGCCAGTAGAACAGCGCCAGCAGTGCACAGGTAAAAACACATTTGTGTCCTCGAAATTCAGACATCACTTTGTATTTAAAGAAGAGAGGGACCATGCACCTCCTGTGCACCTCTAAACCAGAACTAACACCAGGACTAAACCAGGACTAAACTAGGACTAGACAATATGAGCAGTAGTGATCTCATATAAAAAGCATTTCTCTATCAATAATCGTTTTAATACGGTTCAGTAAAGACTGGGGTTTTTTTTAATGTCAGACAAAAGATCTAATGTTAAGATTCTAGTCTTTGCTTCTCTACAGCAAACAAAAGTCTGTTCATGGAGACTTGGGCTCAACAGCCAATTTGAAGAGAACAAACAAGAATTTTCAGGATGTGGTCGTTACATTCATGTAGTTTTAAAAAGCAAGACAATATCAAGTAATCCAAAGTACTCAGATTACGTTACTCACTTTAAGTAATTTAATGGATTACGTTACAAATTACATTTTGGGGTATGTAATCTGTAGGGGATTACATTTTAAAAGTAACCTTCCCAACACTGTTCCTATTCCAAGTGAGCTTCATTTGACTGAAGACAAACTCTGGGTGATGTCACACTCCCTTTGTTCACTTCTTTATACAGTTTGTGGATAAGTTAAAATGTGTCCACACAGCAGCAGGGTGCATTTCAGATGTTTCAAAAACAGACTGTTAAAAAAATAATAATAAGAAATAGCTTGTTTCATCACTGACCAAAACAACAGAGCAAAGTGACAGAGGGCTTTCCTGTTGTGTGTCCAGACTTCACCTGGCTCCCCCTGGACACTGCTGTGATACTCAGGCTTCAGGGCAGAGACGATGAACACTTTTGTCCTGAGGGCTGTTACTGTCCTCCAACTGCCCTGACCCTGCCTGTCTGAGCTGCATTGAGACGTCTTTTGTTTGAGCTTTCTATTATTACTGTATTTCACTGCTCAATGTGCTTAAATTGCCTCTTGGAGACAAAGTGGTATTGACTGATTAGACAAAGAAAGAGAAAAGCAGCTGAACAAATGGAATTTGGAATTTTATTTCAACAACAATGGATCAAACTAGACACAACATTTTGTCAAAAGCAAAACTTAAACCTTAATAGATTAATTTGAACCATATCACCCTCACTTTTATGTACTCCCATTTTTATGTAATATGTACTTCCATTGCAATACTACAATCAATTGGCCTATGAGAATTTAAAAGACCCATGTGACGCTATTTTCTTATCTTTGTTATAATGTTGTTTCCTCACCAAAAACAGACCCCTAGTTGTGTTTTGTTTTATTCACACATGTTTAACACACTGTAACGGTCAGTATTACATTTATATTATTATTGATTCTGTAATACTTGATTGCGCCATCAGGTGGCGCCCCTTTTATTTTCTATTATACTGCAAGTCACAGGTCACAGGTCACTCGCTTGTTGCGATGCTGTGTAATGTAATGGACACACACCTCTGTGCTCTACAACTCAAGTAATGTGCGGTACCGGTGTTAAATGGACTATTTCCTATTTCATGTATGATTCAGACTTAGCGCCGTGGAGACCTGGCATAGTATGGTTTCTAAATGTGTAATAAACCAAGTATCAGTGGAAATCAGAAAGTCTCGCTCTTCTCTCAGCTATCCCAGAGCACATGTTAAGGGCTATAGCTAGCGCTCTCCGCCGGATCACTACCACACATTACAACACAAACACTGCATATTTAATTTTTCTCTCAAACAAAAAAACTTCCACCTTGTGATGTCATGAGGTAATACAGAAAGTGCTCCAACATGTTTTTAAACCTTCACTAGCAGTGGCTGTTCTAGGATTTTCCTGAAACAGGGGCCATTAAGGGGCCACATGTAACATTCAGGGGCCAAGTGCAGGGTACATCCAAGCACACAAATGATTAATTCAGTATAGTGTAAATACAAGCATAATCAGTAAAAAAAAAGCCCTCCACAGGTCTCTTTCTTCTCTTAAGTTGTCTGCTCCTATGTAAATGTCAGTGTTGTATGTCATACTTGTGTGTTTGTCTATTGTGACGTGTTTTATGTTCTTATGTCTCTCTGACCTGCCGGAGACTACAGATGAAAAGTAGCCTTCAGGCTCATTCTGGCATATTTACAAGTGTGTGTTCATGAATATGTGCTGTCCCTTTTAAATAAATAAAACTAAAAAACACAATAGGTCCACTGTCACCAAGAGTTTGGGGTTGGAATTGCATCAGTGATCATTGAAGACTCCAGTTGTTCTTCTCGTCAGTTGATTGACAGAACAGTGGCACTTCAGGGTACAGTTAGATTAGAGGTGGGACCAGGGACCCTGTGGCCCCTCCCCTAGAACCGCCTCTGTTCACTAGAATCATTTGGATAATCTAAGCCCTGGAATTGTCTCTACATAACAAAATTTGAAAGGTAGCTGCTAACTTGAAAATTACCACTTAATGACATCACACGGTGGAACTGAGCATTTTGACCTTTGGTCAAGGGAGGCGCCCAGGAGGCATCTGGAACAGATGTGAGAACCACTTCAGCTGACTCCTCTCGACGTGGAAGAGTGTAACGATGATTACATGATATTTTATTCCACTTGTCATTACATTTATTGGACTAATATATTTTGATTGAGTAGAGCCCTCTTGTGGTGACCGGTAGTGATAAGTGCCCCTGGCGCCGAGAGCATGTTGCCAGTTCATGAGAGATGGGCACGAGGTGGGTCACTGATTTTAGCTCTGTTGGTAAAAATTGTGTATTTCTGTTTAATTTCAGTTAAATTGCTCATTATATATCACAGCCTAATTGTACAACTTATTTATGTCATCCAGAACATTTATGAGCTAATATTTCGTGCAGTGTATGAGTTATTACACTGTAATGGACTTGTGACAGAAGCTAACTTTTAGAAGCTAATATGACTTGCTATCCTTGTAGAGTGCTGCTCGCCGTGTTGAATCACGGTATCCTGACCAGTACATATTTTGTTTCATGCAGATTAAAACCACAAAGACAGCACCGTGTCCTGGCCATTTCTTCACAACACAACGCAGATAAACTATACAACGAACGAAAGATGAACAGATGGGTTATTCCTGCAACCAAGCTGGGCTTTTGCACGACCAAGTTCAGTGTGGTTACAAGAGCAGTGGCTCTACTCTGAGCTCCTCCCATGTGACTGAGCTCCTCACCCTAGACTTTAGACTTTTATTGTCCCCAAGGGGAAATTAATTTGCACGCACACAGAACTTGTTTGTTACATACAGCAAAAACCCGGCACAACACAACACACAGACACATTACAGTACACTCAGTGGGGTCTGGTGTTTAGAAATGTGATGGCTGAGGGCATAAGGCTTCTGCCAAAGCAGGCCCTATCTCTAAGGGAGCGCTCAGCCACCCTGCAGAAGAAACTCATTTTGGCTTTGTATCCAGGATCTCGTTCTTACTGTCATTGCCCAAAGCTCATGACCATAGGCGAGGGGAGGATTTTAGATTGACCGGCAAATCGAGAGCTTTGCCTTCCGGCTCAGCTCCCTCTTCACCACAATGGTCCAATACAGAACGGTGAAACAAAACACAACTCGAGGTATTTGTTTGATAAGATAACAACAAGCTAACATGACTTCAAGCTCAAGTTGATTTAGCACAATATGAGACCTTTATAATGATGACTATGCCACATTTTGTCTTGATATTTTTGCAGACAGTTTCTCATAATAATAAAAATATCTCAAAGAGTCATCCGTCCACACATCTGATAATTCCATGCCCGACATTCCCATTTTGCTTTTCTGATGCTCATCTGCTAACGCTGCTACTTGTGTTCCGCGCCCCGGCTTTCCTTTTGGGTGGCAACTACACAACCGCGCTCTTATCTCTGTCACCCAGCTCCGGGGCCTTCAGAGCGGCTTTATCTGCCCGCCGCACACACCCTCTCGCTGGGTACAGTGTCGGCGTGGTCCCCCCCCCCTTAAGTCTGCTCATTCTTGCTGACTCCAGTGCACCAGCATCAGCAGCCCCCCTCAGTCATGGAGCAGGCAGTCACACACCAGTGAGTATGTCTTAGCGGCGCACTGTGTCACGGACGCACAATCGAATTAGAGCACCAAACGGCTCACTTTGGCTTTGTGCCTTCTAGAATGCTGTAGCTTTTTCTCGCAGTAAGCTTCAGTAGGCTTCTCCATACATTTACATTTTACGCATTTGTTTGTGAAGGTTAATGTTAGAAAGGTGAATTGTGTAACGTTTCTGGTGAAGGGTCCGTCAAATGCTTTTCTCCACGGACATTTTATTCCTTTGTCTGGAATGTTTCACAGTATGTTATTAAAGCTTTCTATTTTCATGAAGAGCGAGCCAGCCAGGCCAAGTGACAGGTCAGATCTGTGGAGAGGCAACCCCGCTCACAGCCAGAATGTTTTTCTAGGTATTTTTGAGCTATAAAACCACTTGTAATTGAATAAAAGTAGAGCTGTTTAATGTCATACGGTGGGACATTCCAGGCAGAGCAATGACTTCTCCATAGAAACAAGCAGGTGACAGCACTCCATGTGAAAAGTTACATAATGCAGCTTTAATGTATCACAGTATGGTATAAACTCATCTTTCACTGATTTAATTACAGGTGTTTTATTGCCAAAAATATGCTTAGTTTGTCTACATACTAATTGTTGAATTGTGTGTCACCTAAAAAACTGTGTAATTGTATTCAGAATGTTGTAGCCATCAAAAAAATCTACTGACAGTATCGTTTGACAGTTGAACATTGGCTGAACTTTGACCTACTTTGATAATGTACTAGTATGTATACTTGCAGAGTTTGGCTAAAAGTACTTTTGTTTTTATTTTGACAGTTTTCAAGAGAATGCTTTCAGTACTATCCCATCCCATAATTTTTGGGGTAATATAGACTTAGACTTAGACAAACTTTATTGAGCTAAATGGGATATTATGTGGGCACCGTAGCTCACACATTACAGTAAATATAATAACAGACAGTCAAAATACAAATGGTAATAATGAATTCAAAATAAGCAAAAATAGTAATAGACCGGTGTCAGATAAAGCATAATTATAAATATGGGCTACAAGTAAAAATAAAATCTATATAAAAAAAGATAATAATAATAAATATATCTCCTGAATATACCATGACGATGTAATTGCTGCACTTGGAATGTTTCACAATAATGTTTTAAGCTTAACTATCTCGACATAAACAAGGTAATGCCACCAGACCAAAATACCAGTCAGATCTGTGTAGAGGTGTGCATGTTCTTGAAGCAATAAAAACACTAATAACTGAATGAAGATGGATAAGTTAAAAGGGACAGTTCGGAATCTTGGACACTCATTTAGCTCACTCATTTCCTAGTGAACCACAGTGTTGGAGATGCGTGGAGTCACTTTTTAAAATATTCCATCCAGTCCTTGTATTTGCAGAGGTCGCTGGTGCTAGGCTAGTGCATGTCAATGGCCATAGTTTGCCTGCCACTAAAAACAGTCTTACAGAATCCACAAAATACCTGAAGCAAATCTATTATAACGCCAGACTGTCAATGTAAATGTCTGTGTCGATAGAATCATTTTAGAAGTAAAACCAGCATTGCATTTGAAGGATTTATGTCTGAGCAGCAGCAGCGAGTTGTACTTCCTGATAGAAAGCTTGGCAGGGGCGGACTGATATGTGAGAAAATAGTCCATCAGCATGTAACGATTCATGCGATGCAAGGTTAGTTTTATTTCAAACATTATTCTATCAAAACAGACATTCACATCAACAGTCTGGCATAATAATAGTTTTGCTTCAGGTGTTTTGTGGAGTGGGTAAGATTGTTTTTAGTGGCAGGATAACTATGGCCATTGAGATGAGCTAGCCTAGCACCAGCGATCTCTGCAAATAGAAGGACTAGATGAAATTTTTTTTAAAGTGTCTCCACACATCTCCAAAACTCTGGCCACTAGGAAATGAGGTTCTTTGTCCAAAATTCTGAACTGTCCCTTTAATGCTACAATGTGAAACGTTTCAGACAAAGTAATACCGTCTATGGAGAGCAGGTGATAGACCCTCTACTCTAAAAGTTACACTGTGCACCTTAAACATAACTGCTAGACTCCACAAATATATATATATTTTTTTCACAAAAGGAGTACATAATTTTAAGGCTATACATCACAATGTTTTTTATTACAGACATCTTCAAAACATGTGTACAAAATAAAACAAAAAATCAACTACGATTTTTTCTCTTTAGACCAAGACTTTCATTCTCCAAGCGCCTCCCATCAGACGTCCAATACCAGCAAATGGCAGAGTTCATCCCAGGAAGTGAGCAGGAGAGCTGGAGGCCAGAGGTCATTCCCACGGTGTCAGACCCGGTCCTGACTCAGCCGGGTCTGGGCGTCACCACGACGACCATCACAACAATCTCACAGACTGGTGGAGACTGGAGCACCGAGCTGTTTGACGTCTGCAGTGACAGAACCATAGGTAACACGATACACCATTTTACAAATAATTCTCAATAATATCTGTGTTATTTTGTTATTTATTTATTTAATTCTTACAACAAACTGAATTTCAGCAGAATTTACAGCTTTAAAATCTCCAAAAGACAAGAAATAAATACACTTAATATTTCAAATTCACACAGGTCAGAGTTATTTCTTTAATCCACATTTTTGTCCTTGTTATTTAAAGAAGCACTGTGTAACTTTACCACCTGCTTTTCCCTGTGGATGTTATTGCTTTATCTGGAATGTTTCACAGTATGGCATTAAACCTTTCTATCTTCATGGAGACCAAACCAGGTCAAGCTACAGATCAAATTTGTGGAGAGGTAACCCTGTTCAAAGTCAAAATACCTTTTTTTCTGGGTATTTCTGAGCCATAAAACCACCTGTAACTGAATAAATATAAAGTAGACCTGTTTAATGTCATACTGCGGAACATTCCAGACAGAGCAATTTCATATCTATACACAATGTACCTTTAAAACTGGTATGGCTGTTGTGTAATTATATCTGACACCTGTTTTAGCTCTGGTTTAAACTTTAAATAGTCCTGCTTTAGACCTGATTTAGATCTGGTATACTTGGAAAACCCAATATGTAGGTGGTACTTGGTGTTACTGCAGTATTTTATTTAAGTCACACTGGCACCTCAGACCTTTAAAAAAATATATCTTGATGAAACTGGCACACATTTAGTAGCACAAAATGAAACCTAAAATGTATTTATATTCTTGAATGGCATGTTTAATGATACATTCTTCTCCACTTTGTGTTCAGGGATTCTTGGAGCTTTTGTACCGTGCTGTTTAGACCTAAGTTTGGCTCACCAGTTTGGAGAGAGCTTCTGCCTGCCTCTCCTGCCCGGCTCCACACTCGCACTGAGAGTTGGAATCAGAGAAAGGTACAAGATCCAGGTGTGTGAGTGTATATGAAAGTAAAAATGAAATGATATAAAAGTAAAAAAGTATTGACTGTGTACAGAGTAACGGTTTGGTGTTTCTTACGTTTTAATAATTTTGTAACCCAGCAGACAAAACCAAACAAACGTGTATCTTTGATATTTCCAAGGAACAGATTATAAAATTATTATTGTTATTATGCAGTAAAGTTCTACAGACATATGCTGCCTGGACCGTGTCTCCTCCCGAAAGTCGTGTGGGTCTCGCCTCTAAACCAGAACTAAACAGGACTGAACCAGGACTAAACCAGGACTAAATCAGATGTAAAACAGTTCTGAAACAGGTCTAAACCAGGACTAAACCAGGACTAAAACCAGGTCTAAACCAGGACTAAACCAGGACTAAAACAGAACTAAAACCAGGACTAAACCAGGTCTAAACCAGGAATAAATCAGGTCTAAAACAGTTCTGAAACAGGTCTAAAACAGGCCTAAAAGAGGTCTAAAACCAGATCTAGACCAGATCTAAACCAAAACTAAAACCAGGACCAAACCAGGTCTAAACCAAAACTAAAACCAGGACCAAACCAGGTCTAAACCAGGACTAAACCAGGTCTAAACCAGGACTAAATCAGGTCTAAAACAGTTTTAAAACACCTCTAAAACAGGCCTAAAAGAGGTCTAAAACCAGGACTAAACCAGGAGTAAAACAGAATTATCAGGACTAAAACAGGAGGTACCGCGCCCCCTCCTGTACACTTGGTCTGCGAAATATCCTTGGCTATAAAACCGGTCCATGGCGCAAAAAAGGTTGGGGACCACTGAATTAAAGCTTCAGACAGAGGAGAGCCTACAGTTAGCATCACAATCCCAGAGAACATTGATGACATCAGCTGCAAAGTATCAATAGTTGAAATACGTGATGCAGCTCTTTAGAAGTAGCCTACACATTATTGGAATATGATGGGTAATCCCTCATTTGTCCAGTAGCGCTTCATTGTAGATGGACATGTGGACGTCGTTTTCGCAGTCAAGATGTTTAAGATCCTGAAGCCGTTTTCAATTTGATGAAACTGGCTTGAATCATTGGGCTTTATCCTAACCTGAGTTTATTAAATCCAGCCCCAAAGGAGTTTGAGAGTGAAACTGACTTGCTAACATCATTATGTCTTTATGTCCCTATTGTGCATTGGCTGTCTCGCTTGTTGCATTGTTAAGTACCTGATTAGTATTTGATTGGCTTATTCTGGTCTTTTCCATGGGTTTAAATACTTCTATAAACAGATGGTAGATTATATTAGAGTGCACCATTTCTGTTGAGAGAGGGAAGGTGTTTCTTGACATAAATAGGCTCCTTTATTTCCCTTGTAAACTGCGCTGCGCTGATTTTCTGATCTAGGTTATAATGTTGTTTCCTCATCACAAACATACCTGGAGTTGTGATTTGTTTCATTCACACATGTTTATCACACAAAACCTGCATATTTAGACTGAGTTCTTCATGCAGAAACCTCTGTTCCACCTTTTGATACACCGAAAGTGCTCCACTGTGTTTTTAAACTCCATACCCTTTCACTAGAATCATTTGGATGATTTGAGCCAACTCAGCTCGACTGAACAACACTGTAACATGGTTTAAAGCTCACAAGAGTGAATTATTATTAAGCGGATTCGCCTCTCCATAGATCTGACGTGTAATTTGGTTTGGTTTGGCCTCCGTGAAGATAGAAAGGTTTAATGCCATACTGTGAAACATTTTAGGCAAAGCAATAACATCTCCATCCGGAAGCATTTAACGGACCACCAGAAAACTTATACAGTGCACCTTTAAGTACATTTTTAATTTGGTACTTTCTTAATACTTAATACTAGGAAACTATTACTTGAATATTTTTTGCTCCAGTATCTGTACTTTAACTTAAGTAACAAAAATGATTCTTCCACCTCTGATTAAAACACTAATGCCTGTTCACGCGTGTGTTTTTCTATATGTCTGATTTGTGTTCTGTTCAGGGCAGTGTCTGTGATGACTGGACCACCGTGTGCTGCTGTTACCCACTGGCCCTGTGTCAGATGAAGAGGGAGATGACGAAGAGGATGAAGACAAAGACCTACCATGTGATCACAGCTTTGGACAGCTCCTGAAGCAGCCCCAAATAACAAAAACAGGACAGAGAAGAAGAAGAAGAAGAGGTGGCTGCTATGAAAAGTATGAAGAATCGATAGAGGCTCGAAACTGACTATGGAAATGCCAGGTGTCTTTGGGTTATACATGAAAATTCTCACGAGCTACTTTTAAAATAAGGACACTGAAAGAAACATTGAAGTTGAAACCAGGACGTTATGCTGTTTAAATCTTCACTTGAAACTATTGGATTCATTCTATTGAGTTTTTCTATTTCTTTTTATTTATTCCTTCTCTTCAGCACTTGTTGTTTTTAAGTACGTCATAAATAAAGTTGGACTGGTTACATTTTCTCACTACATATCTATGCAATACATCTATTTATTTGTAGAGGGCTTATCAAAGATGCTTTACGAAACACATTTATAAAACCAGGCAAAAGAGCAATAAACAAATAATACAAGAAATCATTTTCCCAATACATCATATTCTGAAAGTTAGGAGCTGTCAAAATCATATTCATATCAGAAATTCAATTTGTCAGCTGGACAAAAGTTTATTATGGTTATATTTCTCAACTCATCCAAGCTGTTTCTTCAGTTGTGGTCAAAATGCTGGTGGAAACTTCGTTTTATCTGCCTGCAGGGAGGAGCTAACTACAATGAAACTACTCTGAAATTAACACACCTACTTGTTTACATTATTCATGTTGTATTGTTATTTACAGGGATGCTGATCCTTACAGAAAATAAGTTCTACATGTATTATAAAGTCGTTTTAAAGTCTCAGTGCAGAGTGACTTGTGGGTGCACATGAACATTGAACATTTGACACAACCGACTGATACGACTTTGTCATATTTAAGATGCAAAAAGTTTCGGAAAATTCTCCATTACATGAATGGGATTCCTGTTTAAATGGAAGTGCCGCCACAAAAAAAAAAAAACTGTTTAGGAACTGTTTAGGAATATTTGTAACCTCTATTACCTTATTATTAAATATGCCACATAACGTTGTGGAAAGGCGTTCGTTAGTGCACTATGTGGTCTGTTCTCTATGGATGGGCATGGAGGGATGAGTAATAGCCGGCCTTTCATAGTTCCTGGTCTGTGACTGTCTCCAAGAAATCAGTAAGATTTCATAACTATTGTGTAATGGATGTTCCAACACCAAAATTGTGGTTGTTTATGTGCCTAAGATACAATGTGAAAAGAGTGATTTTGCATGAGACGGGCCCTTTAATCCCATACTACAAAACATTCCAGACACAAAGAAAAGCATTTGACGGACCTTCCTCTGAAAAAGTTACACAAAGCACCTTTAAAGTTAGATAATATATTCATTAAAATTCATAACGATAACTCCTCCTCGGAATAGTAGGGAGGCGCTTAAAAACACACAATTATGGGCTTTTGTGATGTTCAATCAGGTACCTAAAATGTAACTACTAATACAACTTTTATTCTGGTGGCACTCATCCATGAAACTGAAAACGAGATAAGAATACTGTCAAAATTTTAACAAACCTAAAGTAGCCCAGTACCTACGGGCTGATTGTGCTCTTGTTCAGATAAAAAGTGAATAAATGAAACTATTACTTTGAACCAAAAACTCATCAAGGGCTGTTGTGCAGATAAAAACAGAACCTTGGTGTGCGCTTGTTTAATACGGTGTTGTCAACGGATAAGAAATATTTGCGGGTAATGGGAATGTGTTTTGATCTAATTTTCTACCTGAAAATAGTTTAGAGATGGGAAAATATAGGTTAAATGTATCTAGAAATACAAGGTTCGGGTGAAAAGTATGATTCAGTGTGGATTTGGAGTTGTTTTGGTGGTTGCAAAGGTCAGCAGACGCATTGCTATGCATAGTCCCCTCAGATCTGACAGGAGGAGATGATCCATAATGCCGCTGTGTGGACGTAATCAATACAAAACAAGTGGAAAATGTTTAATGTTTGTATTAATGGCCAACTCGAATATTTATATCATTCACTTAACATTTTGGTTGACCTCGGAAACTAAACAACAATTAGATTAAATGTGCATTGTGTAACTTTTCTACTGGAGGGTCTGTCAAATGCTTTTTTCCGTGGACATTTTATCACTTTCTTTGGGATATTTAACAGACAGCATGGTATTGAACATTTCTATCTTCATGGAGACCAAACCAGACCAGGTTACAGGTAAGATCTGCAGAAAGGCGACCCAGCTCACAGTCAGAATGTCTTTTTTTCTAAGTACCGTAAATTCCAGACTATCGAGCGCACCTGAATAAAAGCAGCATCAACTATATTTTAACAAAATTTTAAAACTGTACATACATAGGCTGGACCTGAATATAAGCCGCAGGTGTCCACGTCTTCAAGAACGTTTTCGAGTTTGGGCCGTTTGTTTTTATCGTCTCTGAAAGTTTTTGTCGTCTTTTTGCAGTGAGTCAGTTCATCACGTTGCCGTCGCCAAAATCTCACCATCGACTCTCTGATGCCGAGTTCACGTGCAGCAGCTCTGTTTCCTTCTTCCACAGCCACATCAGTTGCCGTTAACTTAGAAGCTGCATCATCTACATTTCTTTGTGTGTTTTCCATGAGGAGGGTTGTGCATGAAGCGCAAAATAACTGTTCAAAACACAATCAAACAAGCATCTTCCTCGGCACATCATCCTTGTCTCTCCCGGGCTCTACTGTGCATGTCTCCTGCAGAAAGAGTCACTGTCCTGTCTGTATCATGTCAGTGTCTTGTAGGATTTCAGCAGATTTCAGGTTCTCTCGGGGGCGGGGCTAGTTCTATCAATCAGGTATGAGTGGATGTCCAGCTACTGAAGTTTGAGACGCTTCTTCTCGTCATTTACACATACGGGTAAGATGTATCCCCCTCACTAATGTTCATTTAGCATCATAACTTATTTTATCACACGGCGATAAACTGTTTGAGTGTGCTGACAATATCTCTACCTAGTGTAGGAACTTCATGTTAACCCTAGATACATGTGTTCACCGCACACACAACGGCGTTTTTTGCACTCAGGCTGCACACATCCGCTTTGTTGCCAAACCATAGACCGTATATATGAATGGACAATGTGCCAAACAAAGAATCCGTCCATATATTAGCTGCATTGTTTTATTAGCTGCATGATTCAAAGTGTGAGAAAAAAAAATAGCGGCTTATAGTCGGGAATTTACGGTATTTTGAGCTGAAAAATAATTCGTAAGTGAATAAATGTAAGGTAGAGCTCTTTAATGTCATACTGTGGAACATTCCAGGCAAAACAATAACATATCCATATGTAGCAGGGGGCAAAGGCAGTAAATAGTGCAAACAGTACAATTCTTTATTTAGTTAACAGCGAGATTAAAAAGTTAATTTTAAACATTTAAAAGTACAAAATCAACACAAAAAATTGGAACTAAAACATGGGATTCAACTAAACTAAATTAAATCACACAAAACCAAAATTAGTCAAGCAAAACCAAACATTAATCAAACCAAAACAACCAGTTGAATCTTGGATTTCAGTAACCAAAGTGCTAGTGCTGTGCAAACCAATATAAAAGATGCTGTAGTTTTTTTTTTTTTTAGCTGTAAAGTGCTTAGGTGTGAGGCCTTGAAGTCCTCTGAGGTATTAGATGTTTAAAGTGCAAGGTGCTACTGCAATGCACTGACCTCTATTGCACAAACTATCCCAATCAATACATATATAAGCACTATAGCAACTACACTAACTACACTGAGATAAAAGGAAATTATGGGCGAACTTTGAGATCAGACTTTGCGAGAGAATTCAAAAGGGTTTAAGCGAGGATCTGAGAGAATTTGAGAGCAGGAGTAACAGCAGCAGCATAATCTGCCACAAAAAATGCACAAGTTACTCCATAAATGCCATCAACCACCACCAGCCCAAATATACACCACCAAAGAATCTACCTGGATTCTAGAAGGGCTTATGTTTGGTCTCACCAAAGCTGAGACCAAACCTACACCCTTGAATTAAGGATGGAAATTAGCTTTGGCTACAATCCTGTATATTTGCAAGTACATGTTCACATTACCATAAATTCCAACCTATAAGCCGCTACTTTTTTTCTCACACTTTGAACTCTGCAGCTAATAAAACCATGTGGCAAAAATATGGATGGATTCTTTGTTTGGCACATTGTCCATTCGTATATTTGGTCTATGGTTTAGCAACACAGTGCAGCCTGAGTGCAGAAACCACCGCTGTCTGTGCGTTTAACACATGGATCTGGGGTTAACATGAAGTTCTACACTAGCTAGTGATATTGTCAGCTCACTCAAATACCTTATTGCCATGTGATAAAATAAGTTATGCTAAAGAACATCAGTGAGGGGGATACGTCTTACCTGTTTGTGTAAATGACGAAAAGAAATGTCTCAAACTTCATTAGCCAGACATCCACTCATACCTGGTTGATAGAACTATCCCCGCCCCCGGAAGAACCTGAAATTTGCTGAAATCCTACAAGACACTGACATGATACAGACAGGACAGTGGCTCTTACAGGAGTCATGCACTGTAAAGCGCGGGAAGAGACGGGGGTGATGCGCCGAGCTATTTTGTGCTTCGTACACACACCCTCTATATGGAAAACACACGAAGAAATGCAGATGATGCAGCTTTTAAATTAACGGCAATTGATGTGGCTGTGGAAGAAGGAAACAGAGCTGCTGCACGTGAGCTCGACATCAGTGAGTCGATGGTGAGATTTTGGAGATGGCAGCTTGAAGAACTGACTCAATGCAAAAAGACGACAAAAGAATTCAGTGGCGATAAAAGCAAACTTGAAAATGTTCTTGAAGACGTAGACACCTGTGACTTATATTCAGGTGCGGCCTATATATGTACAAATTAAAAATTTTGATAAAATTTAGTTGATGTGGCTTATATTCAGGTGCACTCACTAGTCCGGAAAATACGGTATCTTCTGTTTAAATATTCATTGCCTTTTTAATAAACAAATACAAATACAAATACAAGACACTTACCTCACCTTGCCCCCAGTGTCTCTGTACACTATTTTGTACTTCTATTTATTTACTTCATTTTATTTTATTTTACTGCTTTTGTAGCTCAGTTGGCTGAGCATTTGTCCACTGATTTGGAATTTAGGGGTTTGAGCCCCACTCTTGACTTAAACATTATTGGGAGAGAGGTCCAATCCACCTACCCACCTACCCGCTGGTTGATGATGTAATTCCAGCTCCCATGGACGAATGCTGTTGTTGTGTCCTTGGGCAAGACACTTAACTGGCATCGCCCCAATATCTGTGCACACTGGTATATGAGTGGGTGCGTGAATGTTTCCTTGATCTAAAAATTTTTTTTTTTTAAATTGAACCACGTGATTATGTAAAACAATTGGGGTAGGACTCTATAAGTTTTTAAAATTCATCCTACTCCTTTTGAGCACCAGGTCCCAAATATGTTTATGTACTTATCACTATTTTTGTTATTGTTTTTGAATTTTGTTGTACCTGGCTCAAACAAATAAATAAATGAAATAAATTAATGAAAGCGCTTTGGGTGCCTTGAAGGTGGGAAAGCGCAATATAAAAATGTGACCATTATATTATTTTTATTTATATAATAATAATAATAATAATAATAATAATAATAATAATAATAATAATAATAATAATAATAATAATAATGAAGACCGTTGCTTTTTGCTTTGCTTATTAAAAAATAAAAATAAAAATTTTAAAAAATCATTCTCATCTGTCAGATCAGGCTGAGCTAACACAATGATTGAGTCTCAATTTTGCCT